GATTTATGAAATTACTTAAGTGAGAAATTGTTTGATCTGTTTAATGTTTCCAAATATATCTATCCAAAGACATATATCCATTTACGTCTTTGATCTATCACACTAAATTTGAGTGACTATATAATTTAGTATGTTCTTGACTCATCTGCTTAGGATGGGGGTGATGTCGTGTCTCTCTGATATGAGCAATCTGTGTTTTTTTGCACACTTAGCGTAACAGATTTAGAATTCCTAAAAAATAAACGTAAAAACCTTTTGAAGTCAATTCCTATGAAATACATCATTGTGAAAGATAGTAAATAAACTGAATTTGAGTGACGATATAATTTAGTTTGCTCTTGGGCCATCTGCGTGGGTTGGGGGGTAATGTCTTGTTTTGTCTTATTCTGATATGCGCAATGTGTGTTTTTCTCACACCTTACCAATATTATTTAACCAATAAGGTTTAGAATCCAATAAACACAAAAACATATTGAAGTTCATACTTATAACAACTTCAGACAACGAGTCGAAATCAGTGACATCGTTCGTCACAAAACAAAAAAGTGCCTTTTCTATTATCAGCCAATCAGCAAATGGTAGTCGATTTGTGGGTGTGGTCTAAACCCTTCGGTGTATGGAAACATAATGCAAAATAAGTTGGTTAGCCAATGAAATGCCAGGGAATCACGTTCAATCCGTTTACAGTGCAATGAAGCAGATGGACCCTGTGTCGGCTATTGGTGCTACTGGCGTGGTCAACATGGAGAAGCTCGCCAAGTGGTTCGAGCAGTCTCGGCTGGACCCAAATGACCCCGCCAACGCTGACCTCGTCTACCTGCTGGGAGTGAGTAGGGAGGAACCACACATACTTTTTGAGAAACAGCTTTGTTGAGATGGTGCATTTTGTGCTGTATTGTTTATCAGAAGAAATTAAGAATTTTACTGAAGGTAGGAATTTTCAAGAAATAGAGCGAGGAGAGTGTGTATGGTTATATTGTACGGGGCGGTCGGGTAGCCTAGTGGTTAAAGCGTTCGCTCGTCACGCAGAAGACCCGGGTTCGATTCCCGACATGGGTACAATGTGTGAAGCCCATTTCTGGTGTCCCCCGCCGTGATATTGCAGGAATATTGCTAAAAGTGGCGTAAAACCATACTCACTCACTCACTCACTCACTCACTCACTCGTTATATTGTACAATGTTTTGGTACAATGGAGCATAATTAGGAGTAATAAATCACAACAAAGGTATCTGAAAAGTTCTAAATATTTCCGTTTCCTAGATTCCAATTCAGGCAAATCCAGTCAACTGGATAAAAAATAGGGAAATCTTGTGTAAAAAAATAACTGCAGATAATCCTCCCAAATTCGTGCAACATGGCTATCTCTCTGATCTGTATACTCATTGCTCTGTAACTACAGAACCGCAGCGACCAGGGCGACCTGCAGATGAGAGACTTCTTCCGTCTGGAGCAGCTTCAGGAGGAGTTTGACCTGACATCGGACGAGGACATGGAGGGCAACAAGCGGTTTCGTCTCTTGCAGTACCGAGACAGCGAGGTGCACGAGTTCCGCAACTTCAAGATGGTGCCGGTCTATGAGAGAGAGATTCCCAGAGACGCTTTCACCGTGAGTAACAAGACCTTTCAACTCTGGTTGTAAGGAAGTTCAAGGTGCAGTATTATCTCTGTGATATGGAGTAATGTCATGCTTGTGAACAATGGTAAACATCTCTGCTGGATGTGGGAGTTAGTGCTGATGGCTGCTGCAGTATTTCAGTTGTATCTCAGGGTGTCATCCTACTGTAGGAGGAGGGCTGTAGACATTCACTTCCTTGGTGATACACATGGCTGCAATATTTCAGTTGTATCACAGCGTGTCATCCTACTGTAGGAGGAGGGCTGTAGACATTCCTTTCCTTGGTAATACACATGGCTGCAGTATTTCAGTTGTATCACAGCGTGTCATCCTACTGTAGGAGGAGGGCTGTAGATATTTACCACCTTGGTGATACACATGGGAATCGTCCTGACAGACCAGGAGTCATATTCTAGGTTACTGGGATTCAAACTCATGACCAGCTGATTGTGTCAGCTAAGGGACTTAGTTGAAGTGCCATCTTGGCCCCCTACCTCTGTACAGGAACGAGAACTGGACTTTTAATTGTGTTACAAGACTTACATCAATGATTCCTGCTGCAAAAGAGGATGTGTATGTTTCATCTTTAAGTGGCATCTTAGAAGCTTGAGTATCAATGATGATAGATTCGACTTAAGATTTCTCTAGAATGCACATGCTTTATGAAAGGACTGGCATCTCTACTGAATCATATCATTGAAAGGGACCCGTGAAGATCCGGGGTAGAATAAGTCTTCAGCAACCCATGTTTGCTGTAAAAAGCGACTATGCTTGTCGTAAGAGGCGACTAACAGGATCGGGTGGTCAGGCTCACTGACTTGGTTGATGCATGTCATCGTATCGCAATTGCGTGGATCGATGTTCAGGATATCAATCACTGAATTGCCTGGGCCAGACTCCATTATTTACAGACCGCAGTCATGTGGCTGGAATATTGCTGAGTGCAGCGTTAGACAACAAACAAACAAAGCTTTGAAGGGATAAAGAAGTTGAAGTCCATGAGTCAACTCTGTCTTCATTGACTTCCCAGTTTGAATGTGTACAATGTAGTTAGATGTCCCAGCTGATAACTGTAAGGTCCTCGCAACTGATGCCGTGTCCTCCTTGTCCTGTAGGAGTACGAGAAAAAACAGAGGGAAGAGGACCGCAGTAAGAAGAAGGAGGACATCGAGTCACATCGAGCTGCCGTCAACAAGTTCATGCAGAGGGTAAGCAGGAGAAACAGCTCCCCTAACTGGGCTTCATCTAGACTTGCTCAATGGCTGATATTCTGCCCATGTCTACAGGAAATGTCAGTCAAACTAAAAGGTCATATTCATATTCATATTTGTAACTAATGTTATAGTTTTGTGGATGTGACTGTATGTCACTGATAACAGAACCAATAAAACGACAGGGCTTCAATGTTGCACTGAATGCAGTGTTAAAATATATTGTTTAAACACCTCTGAATATATTTAAAATAAAGACTTGATGAACTTCTAGATTCATATAAAAAAAGGAAGAAATTTCGAATTTGGCTGCCAAGGGCTCTTAGTTTGGAATCCTTGATAATTTCCTGTCTAAACAATCACAATACATGTATGTAAGCATTTTAGTAAAACGAAAAACCCTCCAAGGCTGAATTTAACTTTAACACTGGAAATATCAGTCTGTTTCTATCAGTACAGAATGGATGGTATTGGTGAGTTCATTATCATGTTGCACAGGAGAATTGCAGGTATCTCAACATTATTTAACATGGGGAACATAGTTTGGACAGTAAGTGTATCGATACAGAACAAATGTTGATCTGGTATTGGACATTGACCATGCTGTCAACAAACGGAACCTGGAGTATCAGGTGACAGGGGAACTGTATCAAGCTTGCCTGTATTCCATTCTGTGCTGGGTGGAAGTAAGGACCTACCCTCATCCCATCTATCATGTCTGTGACCGTCTCCGTGGTCTAATGGTAGAGCGTCTGCCCAGAGAGTGGAAGGTCAGGGGTTCGATCCCCCCGTCATACCAAAAAACGTTAAAAGATGGTACTTGTTGTTACCCTGTCCCGCGCTCGGCATTAAGGGGCTAAAACAAGGACTGGTCGGCTCGGAGTCAGTATACTGTGTCTGAGTGGGGTATTCATGTTAAACTGCGGCATGGTATCTCAGTGTGCTAGCACTATAAATCGGTCCGGACTAGTACAAGCAGCCACACACACACACATACACGTGCATGCACGTCACTATATAAGTGCAATAATCTTGGATGTGACGTTAAACCCCATTTCACCTCATCTATCATGTCTGTGCAGGTTCGGGAGCAGGTGATGCAGAGGTTCCGTATGGCGGCACACTCCAAGAGACTGGAGGACATGGTGGTGGAGGATGTGGTGCCGAACATTGGGTGAGGATACCGTACACAGCACTGGCTGCCATACCAGCTGTGTCATGTCTTACAGAGGGGATATCTTCTTCTAGTCTTGTCTTGACATGGTAATAAGTGCCAACTATTCACACAGACCTGAAAACAGGCTTGAGACTTTAGGTCCCTCCAAGGGCGGATCCAGCATTTTTAAAAGGGAGGAGTTCAAAATATCAAAATCCTCTCTCATTCAATGTTACTGCCTACAACATACTACATTTGGTTTCCAAAAGGGGGGGAATCAGGACCCCCTGAACCCCACCTCTGAATCCTCGTATGCCCTCCTTGCAAAGGATTTTACCTTGAAAATGGATAATGTGTCTTGAAAAGGAATGGTTCATGAGCGGTTCATTTTCTGGGACAAGCAAATTGCTGAATTCTGTTAAAACTTCAAAGAAAACTATATTTCTACACAAGTATAGTCACTCAATATAGTCAGATCTGCAGTTTCCTTAGAGTAGAGGGGCGGTCGGGTAGCCTAGTGGTTAAAGCGTTCGCTTGTCACGCCGAACACCCAGGTTCGATTCCAGACATGGGCACATTGTGTGAAGCCCATTTCTGGTGTCCCCCGCCGTGATATTGCTGGAATATTGCTAAAAGCGGCATGAAACCATACTCACTCACTCACTCACTCACTCACTCACTCACTCACTCCTCCTCCTCCTCCTCCTCCTCCTCCTCCTCCTCCTCCTCCTCCTTAGAGTAGAATATGCCCATTTCTGTAACAAGTTTATTGTTGGGGCTCAAGGCATACCATGCTAATGGCATGATGGTGTCAAATGGGACATGATTTTATTTAGCCAATGAGCATGGGGAAATATTTGTTAGCATGGCCTTTATTTTCGGGGAGGGAGCCTTGAAAAGTCATTGAATTTTGTGACTGTAATACTGTAGGAACCCTCATACCGTGTAAGACAGGGAGACAGTACCTTCTTGTAATGTGCGTAATCGTAAACTGCAAATAGTCTTCATCATTCAATGTGTATTTCACATGAATCAAATTCATAGGACTCGAGTTTTCTGATGGTTCTTTTATCATCACTTGTTAAAGAATCCAGGTATATGGTTGGTCCTTTGGTGCCTTGTTTAAACCTATAGCCATCCTGTATTGATGACTTGAAGTCATAACGTTTGATGTGACATCACTTACTGCGCATGTCACAATTGACATTGTTCACACTTTAAGTAACTATGCTGAAAATCTGATAGATGGATCTAATTTTCTCGGACAAATATTTCACCAGAAATAAGGCTTGTTACTTGGTAACTTGTAATGATAAATTTGTACATGTGTCACTAGCGGGGTGTACAGGATTTTACAAGGTAAATGTTTGTGTTCACCCTCGTTGCATACAAGCCCATTCAGCTCACAAAACCCTATACACCCACTGATGTCACTTGGCACATCAAACTTGACATCTAGTTGTTTTAAAGAAAATACATCCATCACCTGTTCTTGCTTTCAGCTCATTATTTATAAGTTTATCCCGTATAACGGAGCCGAGGCGGCCATTGAAGCCAGTGAGGAAGGAGAGGAAGAAGGCAACAGCACAGGCGGTGTCGGGCGGGGAGGTGAACATCCTTATCAACATCATCAGGGCATCATACATACCAATCAGGAAAACCAAGGGGTAGGCATTCATAGAGCTACAAATCTATATGTGTGACTTAATGGGTACAATGTTTGCTATCATAACTCCATGTCAGAATGATGAGATCTGATTAGTCAGTCCACTTGATCTTTATGAAATACTTTGTATCCTGCATTGGTGGTGAATATTTCTCGACCTGGGAATAAATCTCTTATACCCCGCCATGAGCAAGTCAGGCTGCACATGGATTTCTGAAAGGCAGAAGAAATCCCTTATACCCTGCTTCAAAGCAAAAAGCTGCATGCTTTTTCCGAGTCAGTGGAAGTCACATGACCTTGCACAAGCTAACCTCAGCTCATTCGAAAAGCTGTCTTCTATCAATTTGGAATTTGTTTGAATTCCTTTACAATGTAATATTAAAACATGTTGGTAAGATAAATTTGTTGTAGCAGGATCACAAGGGGTACATGAGGTTTTAAGCGTCCAGCGTTAGGTTTTATACCACGAGCCAGCATAAAACCCCATGTACCCCTCGTGATCCTGCTACAGCTTATACTGCGATTCATGATCAGTTATAGAAATTAGGGGCTTCCTGGGGACAATGAGTTTGTGCGGTTGTGCTTTAGTATTTGACTCTTGGTACGGGGACATGGGCAGTTGGCCCAGTCGTCTAAGGGGCCGCTGTTCACTGTTTGTCCATTGGCCATGGAAGAATCTGATGATCGTGACTTGTAATACCCGTTGCCTTGATTATGTTTGTCATCACCATAACCGTGCTAGTTAACATCTAACGTAAGCGTCTAACATAAACGTCTAAGACATGCATCACGTTGGGCTTTCCTCCCACATCAAACTGACATGCCATGATATAACTGTTCAAAACAGTGTTAAACGGACTCACTCACTTCCTGACTCGAGGGACCTGCTTAACCTTTTATGTTCAACATTAGGGTTATGACAATGTCACAAGATACACTTGACTTTGATTCTTAATGTTGGAGCTGGATCTGTGTTCATGTTCATCCATCTTTGCTGTGTTGGTGCCAGGGAACTATTGATGTCATATGTGGTCATGTGACTATCCATATATGGATGAACTGTGGAAGTGATGGGGACCCAAATACCCAAGTACCTATGGTACAGAGTTTAGATCTACAGTTGCAACATTAAAATGACTATACTACTCAAAAGAAGTTAATGACAGATTAACTATGGTAATATGAAAGAAAGGGATTACAGAAGATTAACTATAGTACCGGTAATATGAAAGAATGAGTTCACGGCAGATTAACTATAGTAATATGAAAGAATGTTGTCACGGCAGATTAACTATAGTAATATGAAAGAATGAGGTCACGGCAGATTACCTATAGTAATAGGAAACAAAAGGGTGTTCTTTGACTTCTTTTGAGTAGTATATATCAAAGGGTAACATGTTTAATACTAAATGAAAGTGTTTGCCTTTGATGTGCCATTTTTGAATGCTTGCCCACATAGAGTGAGATACAGTTATCTCCCCTTACAGGCCTGCCACTGGTGCTGCCACATCAAGAGACCCGGAGAGAACTTTAGTCAAGAACATCACCGGAGAAGTAAGTTGTCCAGTTGTCCGAGACCTCGCATGATAAAGAAAGCAGACCATTCGACATTTTTCATGTTGCATAGTTTACATTGAACTGCTTAATAGGGGACTAGGATCGGGTAAATTGGCAGACCTAACGTTTATGACTCAAGTCAGTCAAATCCGTTTTGTAAGTCTGGTAAAGTAAATATTAGTACAGCCTTAGAAACTGTTGTTGTTGTTTTTTAGACTAGTCCAGAGGACCAGTGTGAACCTTGTTTCACTAGTTGAGTGTTTGTAGCTAGTCCTGCTTGAACAAGACACAAATTTACTATGTTTACATTTTATGCCAGTTTTATTCAGTTCCAATTTGTAGCAAAATTGAAGCTTTGAGAACTGGTAATAGTCAATGGGGACTGCCATCAATGGATGTTTACTTGTCACTAATTTTAGAACAGATTTCTAAGGCTGTACTAATATTCATGTCAACAGACTAATGGGATTGGAATTATTCCTTTTATTATGTCAGACAGTGAAAATGGGCACGGTTTGAATCACAGAGTCTGTATTAAGCTATTAAGTTTTGAGAATGATCAATTTGAAATCTGTTTTATTTGTGTTCAACTATGTCGCATTAAGAACCTTAACATGTTTTGAATTTGACATTGTAGGAAATATTGAAAAATGGAATATTATGAAATGTAAGAGAATGTTGATATGAATGGCACAGCATGTAACTGTGAGGGAATATCCTTGCTACCTACTTGTGCTCCTTTCAGACGTTGGTGCGGCCGTATGTGGAGGTGATGTTTCAGAGGGAGACGGTCAGAAGCAGCATCGGAGATGGCCCCAACCCCAGCTTCAATGAGGAACTGTCCCTAGATCTCAAGTAATATACTCTCTGTGTGTAGCACCTGTATTTAGTAGACCCAGTGAAGTACGTGGGCTTGTTGCTTTCATACTAGTGTGGCAATTTCATCACAACAAAAGGCCACATCTAATACTGGATAATTATTTCTTTGTGAGAGTATTAATGAAAGTTGCCAGTCTTTCATTGATCTTTTTACATCTAAAATACATCACATACTGTATCATTCTTACAAAGAGACTTTAAGATTGGGATTGTTAATATGTTTGATATAAAAAGACACTCGACTGAGATGCTATGCATCATCCAAAGTCATTCGACTTTTTTAGTTTGTAAACAATAATAATCAGTATCATAAGTACAGCTAACCAGCTTCAGTGGCAGAGATTAGTGATGTCATTTGATTGTGACATCATCATAACTGATGATGTCACAATGGTCTGCAAAGCATCATGATGCAATTTCATTGTAGCAATATCTCCTAGTATAGAAGATGTCGCTTGATCTCACCCAAGCAATGGCTCCTGTGGAAGCCAGTTTGGGCAGATAAGTTGGTTGCAGTGTATCATGAATTTTGACTCCCATTGTTATGATGCCGATTCCCTGTCAGTTTGTTCTGGTACATTGCAGGAAATGATTGAGTACAGTACTGATGACAGCATGGAGCTGGTCTAAGAATCAGTGTTAGGGGAGACAACTCTGTGGTTCATGTCTGTGTTATGTTGTAGGGCTCCTAACGAAGACTTCAGCACAAACAGCCTCCAGCAGATCACAGACTGCCTCTACCTCAACCTATTTGATGAAAACATCGTCGACATCCTTGAGGTAGGACCATTGCTGCCATCGCTTTCATATTCACATGAGACTCTTGTTTTAGGAACAAAACTTTAACACTCCTTCAAATCCACCCGAATATCCTGCCATCAAATATTTGTCCTGAATTTATCTTAAATTCTCTTTTAGGATGGATCTACCATTGCTGTTATGTTAGACTGAATCAAATGTCATGTGGCATCGTGCCATGTTAGGAGGTGAAGGATAAGGTTTTATATCTGCACACGATGTGCACACGACATACATAATTATGTAGAATTTTCATGTATGATACAAAGAATATTCTAAGAGGACAAATTTGATATTTTCAATTTTTCATTTTTGTCAGCACCATACCCGTACTCGTGGGTTTCACTGAAGTGGTAAATGTCTGAGACCTGCATCACTTCGGGCTTTCCTCCCACATTAAGACGTGATATGACTGGAATACTGTTAAAAGCGGCATTAAACCCAACTCACTCACTCACTCACCTTGACTTTCACAGATTCCGGGTTTGAATCGGTCTTCAGCAACCCATACTTGTCATAAGAGGCGACTAACAGGATCGGGTGGTCAGACTGGGTGACTTTGTTCATGTCATAGTATCCCACATCGATGCTCATGATATCAATCACTGGATTGTCTGGACCAGACTCGATTTCTTTACAGACCACCGTCAAATAGCTGGAATATTGCTGAGCACGGCGTTAAACAACAAATAAACAAAACCAGCCTTTGAAGACCTGTTGAGGATGCCGTCTTGGTGTCTATCATAGTTAAGGTTATAACCCAAGATGGTCTCCATTGCAGACATATGCAATTGTAATATGCAAATTATTAATGTGTAAATATTTCCCCATTTAATTGTGCCCATGTCTTAGCTCATGTCCCTTACTCAAGAATTCCTCATAGGGATTCCAAGACAGTGAAGAGGACTTCTGTTGAAAATCAGAAGATTTAGTAATATTGTGATTGCAGCCAAAACACAGGAATTTGGCAATGATGTAATAGAGGTAGTATTCTTAGAATTCTTAACAATGATAACCATTGTTCCTAGGATTGTGAGTTCGAATCCTGGTTCACCCCAGGTATATTTCTAGGTTTGTCAGCACCATACCAGTGCTCATGGGATTCACAAAAGTGGTAAACTTCTGCGAACTGCATCACTCCCACATCAAGCTGACTTGTCTTGACATTTTACTGGAACATTGTTAAGAGCGGCATTAAAACCAACTCACCCACTCAATCATGTCCCTGACTACAGAATACCCCATGGGCATTCCAAGGCAGTTCCTAGTACCTCATGCTTGTATGATCGTCTAATAAGGATGAGGTGGTTACAGTGTGGGACCTGTGTATTGTGCATCAATGATTCTGTCAACCACCTGTTTGCTCAGCCCAAAGTTGAGTCAGCACAGGCTGCAGTGAGTGGAATACTGCCAACTCCAGTGTGAAGCAGCATTCCTCCATGTATGTGTGCCAGTAGTTGTATGGAATGTGTGGCTGTGTTGCAGGATGACCGGCAGAGGGAGAGTAACATACACCAGAGGATAGAGAAGAAATGGTTGGGGTGCCTGAAGATACCCTTCTCCACACTCTACCACAAAGGCAAAGTGAGTAGTCCGAGGCATTCAATATGTCTTGTCACTGCGGTAAATGTTTCTTGTTTTGTTTGGAAGAAGTATTCTGCTCTAAAGTCACTTGAATAGAATGAGAGAGTAAAAATACAGTCATATCCCGATTTGAACAAACTCCAGGGAACTCTCCCTTGGGTATTCAGGTGGCAGTAGGTTCCCTCTTATATAGGTTCCCTCTTCTCGTCACATGGGAATTAGGTGTTCAGGCTCCGACTCTGTTAAATGAGTGTCATCGTACATGCTTCCTCGTCGGGATTCTGGGTTAAAATAGGTCCGCAACAACCTATGCTGGTCATAATGGGTGACTTAATGGATGGGGTCGTCAGATTCGTTGACGTGGTTAAAGGCGTGTCAATGTACCCCGACGATATGGATTGTTGCTCCCAATATCAATCACTGGATCGTCTGGTTCAGATACGATTATGTTCAGGCCGTCATCATATGACTGGACTATTGTGAGGCGTTAAACAACAAACACACCACTTAGGTCTAGCCAGATAATGCTAATAACATTCATTCTTATAACATGGTGATTTTTTGTTCATTTCAGATTGATGGTACATTCCGTCTGAACACACCGCCTGTGTTGCTAGGTTACACGTACGACTTGTCTCAGGGTCGAGGACCTGACTCGGAGGTAGAGGAGAGCATCGGTCGCGGCGAGGGCAACACATACCTCAGTCTCTTCATCACCATAGAGCCACCTCTTAACCCCCCGGAACTCATGAAGGAAAAGGTGCTTTACTGTGATTTAGATTTGTGGAAACTGATAAGGACAATGCATGATAAGGACGCTTTTGGACTCACTAGAATAGACAATTTTCAAAGATGGGTAAAGTTTGAAAAGTTGCTGCGAAAGTAATTTGAAATGTTGACTGACAAAATGTTTGATTTCTTTCATCTCTTTTAAGAGCAGAACAAATGTAGAAATGTGGCTTAAGTATGTGAAAGGAGGATTCTTCATACTTCTAAATCTAACCCTGACCTAAGAAAAGACCCAAGAGGAAATTATCACATGTATGCAGTATGCTGCATCACTTTTTTTCTAAGACTTAAAAAAAATAAAAGAATTGGTTCTCAGGAAAAGACTTTTGAAATAATAGTTAGGGCGGGTGTGTGTTTTTTTTGCGTGTTTTTTTTTATGCTTGTTCAAAATACATGTACAAATGTATTATGTAACCAAATTAACAGCTGTCCATCAACCTGGGAAAGAGCCTCCCTACATAAACAAGCATACAGACTCCTATTGCCAGCATTACCATACCATAACACATGATACGCAGTAAAGCTGTGCGCATGTAAACTGTGTACATTTTTGGACCGCATTGTTTTTAGGTATTAAGATTATTTTGGTATTTATTTTTTCAATGGAAATAAAAATGAAAAGTGCTGCAGACTTTGTGATCGTGCGGGTGGTGCCTGAGAACCGAGACCATTTTTTTGTTTTTTAACCTAATAACACTTTTTCAACATAAAAGATTTCAATGCGATTATCTTAAGTTAAGAAATGTTCTTAAAATACACATTGTAGAAGATAACAAGATATGGAAATAGATATTCACTATATGCCGTAGTGAACCAGTGTGGCTATGAGAAGTGTTGACAACCGTTCTGTGGTCATGTGACAGTTTTCAACCAATGAGGATGAGAAGCTGATGGTGCATGGGGAGACGTGGCAGGAAGAGCTGAACAAGAAGTTCCCTCGGCGGGAGTTCAAGACCACCGTGGTCGACGTCAACGGGAAGTCGGTGTTCATCACACGATACTTCAAGTCTCTCAAGCCACCAGATGATATCATGGGCAGGGAACTCGGCCCGGAGAAGACAGCGGTATGTTCTGGGGCTGACAGAGTAGTCTCCCTTGATGTGTAGCCTGGCAAACTGCATCCTTGGGTGTGACACCTCCAGCTTCCCGGTATCATCACTGGCATCAGTGTGCAAGTAGCATTACAAGAATCTTGAAATTTCCCCTCAAACCCCAAATGTTGAGACATTTATGTTATTTTGGCAATGTTATTATTGTGAAATGTGAGGATCTTTATGACTGATTTACTATTTCCCAGAGAAATTTCCTTTTGTTTATTTTATCGAATTGATTCAAGATTGCAGACTAACAGAAAGGCACCCAACTTCCCCCTTACATTCTTACTATACCAATTACATGTACGTTGAAATAAAATATAGATATAAATCGACAAACAAAGACTGTATGGGGAGCTCCGTGAATGGGCTATCATTGGGAATGGGCTATCTTTGTGAAAAGCTTGGTAACCAGGCACTGATTGAAAGTAGGTACGAAAGTCAGTGGGTTGTTGTCAGAACTAATAAGATTTAGGGGTCCCTAGATTCAAATACTAAGCAGCAAACCTCAAGGACCCCAGGAGCAAAGTTAATTTCAAATACTGCCAGTGACTCAAATGATCTGTCCTGACTACTAGGGCTGGGACGAGTCCAAATTTACTACTCGGGTACCCCCCACCCCTATTTCCCTACCCTGCCCGGATACCCACTGTAGGCCACATGAGATGTCTCAAAATGTCCGAATGGGAACTTTTTTAGCATAGCCCTTGCAAAACGTATTTAGATACCTGTATTAAACAAACTGGTCATGCATACACTGAAGTTGACTTAAGTTATATCTTTATTCAACCATATGAAAAATCAGAAGGAATGGGTGCATAGTCAGAAAGAAAAGCGAACATTAATGACTTGTAGTGTAACCATAGAGTTCCAGATAATTTTAGTCATTAGACAATATGTCACGTGACTAACCACGGGACCGGGTAGTCCTGTGGGTACCCGGGTCCTACTCAGTACCCACCCAGGTACCCGAGTTACCCGTCCCAGCCATACTGACTACCTCTAGGGCTGGTACTATGAGTAATAGAAGAGTCACTCAAATCTGTTGATTCTACTTCCAAATTCAGCCAATTCGAGTTATTTCTCTGACTATATTATTTAATTTAATGATATAATTCATCTGTAATTTTGCATAACAACCTGTATTTTTATACATTCATGGCCATTGAATTCATGGCTCAGAATCAACTGCAATAACAGTCGCTCATGTCATCATAATGGTTTTATCAGAGATAAATCTGGAGGCCATGACTAGAAGATCATGGCTTCTAAGGGTTGATGCATGTCATAGTATCCCAATTGCTTGGATCGATGCTCATGATATCATTTTTGGGATTGTCTGGTCCAGACTCGATTATTTACATCATATAGCTGGAATATTGCTGAGTGCGGCAAAACAACAAACAAACAAATCTAAGGGACACACATCTGCACAACTCCTTCTGGCGCCGTGAACACAAGGTCAAGTGTTTATTGCTGAAACTGTATGAGCCTTGTATGTGAAGTGTTTTATCATGTACTCCAGGAGCTGACGGCCAGGTTCGTGTCTCTCATCCCCTCCGTGTCTGACTCAGTCGTCTTCCCAGGGTTGTGTGACATCTGGAGCACCTCAGACGTAAGTCTTAGTACCAACACTCGCATAGTAAATCGTCGTTATGATGCAGCGTTAGAAATTGGCACTAGTCCTGTAGTCCTTGCCAAACTGCCTAATAGTTAAGGTATCATAAGGACTAGTAGAAATTGGCCCTTTTTAAGGGTTTTGCTATATGTAATCTTTATAATAAGGACTAGTTGACTAAAATTGTTTGTTTTATAACGCTATGATGACACTCATATCTCCAATAGTAGTTGATCAGAAGGCATTGATCACTTAATAATGAGGCCTATCTCTTGCACCATGTTTCCACACCACACAGTGGCATGCTAAAGGTGCTACACCATTATTACCCCTGTCATTGGATCAGTGTGCACTCTATTTCTTTCTCAGCTCCCTAGGCAGTATACAACCAAAGCTTCCTGTGAGGCGCTAGAAGGTTATCAGTCAAATTACCTTATCATCCTACAGGGTTCCCATACACTGTGGATGAGGCATAATTCGGACAAAGTCATTTGCCAAAGGAAACGTGCTATGTGTGCTTCCGTGTGTGGCATATGTACCTCTAGATATGTGTCATCACAAAATATGTGTAGGAATGACTTGCCACATTGCAGCATGTTCTTTTAACGCCTCAGTTGCATGTGTATACTCCTCAGGAAGCTGAGGAGACGGTTGGGTAGCCTAGTGGTTAAAGTGTTCGCTCATCATGCTAAAGACCTGGGTTCGATTCCTGACATGGGTACAATGTTTGAAGCCCATTTCTGGTGTTTCCTGCCGTGATTGCTGGAATATTGATAAAAGCGGCGTAAAACCAAACTCACTCACTCACTCACTCACTGACTCACTCACTCACTCACTCAGGAAGCTGAGAATACAATTTGGAATGCACACCTATCTGTTGAATGGAATAATAATGTCATGCACTTCATACCAAGCAGGGTGAGGTGAGGTGATATGGGGTTTAACGTCGCGTCCAAGATTATTGCACTTATATAGCGACGTGCATGTACGTGTGTGTGTTTGTGTGGCTGCTTGTACTAGTCCGGACTGATGCCGATTTATCGTGCTAGCTCACTGAGATACCATGCTGCAGTTTAACATGAACACCCCACTCAGACACAGTATACTGACTCCGAGCCGACCAGTCCTTGTTTTAGCCCCTTAATGCCGAGCGCCAGACAGGGTAACAACAAGTATCATCTTTTAACGTCTTTTGGTATGACGTGGTCGGGGGTCGAACCCCAGACCTTCCGCTCTCAGGGCGGACGCTCTACCACTAGACCACAGAGGCGGTTACCAAGCAGGGTCTTGAGCTTTATTAGTGGCCTACTATTATTCCCTGCTGCGAAGGAATAGTGCTGTCTGCCTTCTGTCCGTCTGTCATTCCGTCTATCACATGTTTCACAAGTAACAGATTAGCCATGGAAGTGTGTTTTTTGCTTTCTGGGATTTGTTATTTTTTTGCCAATCAATGAACCATTTGTAATTCCTCACTCAATCAAGTGATCGACTGCTTTATTTTATGTTTTTTTTATGTTTTCTTTTGTATTTTTTACCCGAATAAAAACAAATGAAAATAATATGTCCAATGGTAACCACTGCTGCCAGTGATCTCCTCATAGTAACATCATCTTACTGAGATGGCTAAAGGTACCAGTCAGCTAGCAGCATATTAATCAATTATTTTTTTATGATGGGTAAGTGTCATTTGCTCCTTTGAAACAAGTCACAGGCAGCTGGTGTAGAACTTACTATTGGCGGGGAATATGGAGTATTTCATGTTTGTTGCCATTAGGATCAAGTCTTCGTTTTCAGGCAGCTGGTGTAGAACTTACTTTTGGTGGGGAATATGGAGTATTTCATGTTTGTTGCCATCAGGATCAGGTCTTCGTTTTCAGGCAGCTGGTGTAGAACTTACTTTTGGTGGGGAATATGGAGTATTTCATGTTTGTTGCCATCAGGATCAGGTCTTTGTTTTCAGGCAGCTGGTGTAGAACTTACTATTGGTGGGGAATATGGAGTATTTCATGTTTGTTGCCATCAGGATCAGGTCTTCGTTTTCAGGCAGCTGGTGTAGAACTAACTATTGGTGGGGAATATGGAGTATTTCATGTTTGTTGCCATTAGGATCAGGTCTTCGTTTTCAGGCAGCTGGTGTAGAACTTACTATTGGTGGGGAATATGGAGTGTTTCATGTTTGTTGCCATTAGGATCAGGTCTTCGTTTTCAGGCAGCTGGTGTAGAACTTACTATTGGTGGGGAATATGGAGTATTTCATGTTTGTTGCCATTAGGATCAGGTCTTCGTTTTCAGGCAGCTGGTGTAGAACTTACTATTGGCGGGGAATATGGAGTATTTTATGTTTGTCGCCATTTGGATAAGGCCTTCGTTTTCAGGCAGCTGGTGTAGAACTTACTATTGGAGGGGAATATGGAATATTTCATGTTTGTTGCCATTAGGATCAGGTCTTCGTTTTCAGGCAGCTGGTGTAGAACTTACTATTGGTGGGGAATATGGAGTATTTCATGTTTGTTGCCATTAGGATCAGGTCTTCGTTTTCAGGCAGCTGGTGTAGAACTTACTATTGGTGGGGAATATAGAGTATTTCATGTTTGTTGCCATTAGGATAAGGCCTTTGTTTTCAGGCAGCTGGTGTAGAACTTACTATTGGTGGGGAATATGGAGTATTTCATGTTTGTTGCCATTAGGATCAGGTCTTCGTTTTCAGGCAGCTGGTGTAGAACTTACTATTGGTGGGGAATATAGAGTATTTCATGTTTGTTGCCATTAGGATCAGGTCTTCATTTTCAGGCAGCTGGTGTAGAACTTACTATTGGTGGGGAATATGGAGTATTTCATGTTTGTTGCCATTAGGATCAGGTCTTCGTTTTCAGGCAGCTGGTGTAGAACTTACTATTGGTGGGGAATATGGAGTATTTCATGTTTGTTGCCATTAGGATCAGGTCTTCGTTTTCAGGCAGCTGGTGTAGAACTTACTATTGGTGGGGAATATGGAGTATTTCATGTTTGTTGCCATTAGGATCAGGTCTTCGTTTTCAGGCAGCTGGTGTAGAACTTACTATTGGCGGGGAATATGGAGTATTTCATGTTTGTTGCCTTTAGGATCAGGTCTTCATTTTCAGGCAGCTGGTGTAGAACTTACTATTGGCGGGGAATATGGAGTATTTCATGTTTGTTGCCATTAGGATCAGGTCTTCGTTTTCAGGCAGCTGGTGTAGAACTTACTATTGGTGGGGAATATGGAGTATTTCATGTTTGTTGCCATTAGGATCAGGTCTTCATTTTCAGGCAGCTGAGTGATACGCAAACACGTCAACATCTATAAGACTTAAAAAATAAAAGAATTGGTTCTCAGGCAATGACACTTGAAAATAAAGTGCAGATGGATGGTGTTTCTTTTGTTTGGTGTTTTTTGTTGCTTGTTCAAACTAGTACCGGTATATAACCAAATAGACAGTTGTGTAACATCAACCTGGGAAAGGGCCTACCTACATGAACAAGCATACAAACTCCAATTGCTGCCATGACCATAGATGCAAGATGCGCAGTAAAGAAGTGTACATGTGAAAGGAAGTAACTGCTTCCTATTTTGGATCGCATTGTTTTTAAGTATTAGTATTTTAATGGAATTAAAAATGAAACGTGCAGCAGACTTTATGATGATCCGGGCAGTGCCTGAGAACCAAGATTGTTATTTTTTTAGTCTAATTCATCTATATGTGTCGAGCACTGTGAAAGTTGGGTGTCTTCTTGATATTTCAGCAATTCCTGCAGATGTTGGCAGGAGATGAAGAGGAACATGCTGTGTTGTTGGTCAACTTTTTCCTGGGGCTTGGAAAGAAGGCATATCTTCTGATTGGTAAGTGCGTCACAGAGGCTCTCATTGAGTCGCTCTCACTGATACTGTCTTGCAATAGATGTACCAGATGATGAGAGGCTTGACCTGGCGACCTCAGCCATCAGTTCCAGCAGGGTCAGGATGTCTATCTCGTAAGCCCATGTAGTACTAAGGGTGGGAAAAGAAAAATAGCCTGCTCAAATCGCAATACACAGCGACATCAAGTGTAAGATAATGGGTGGAACTCCCAGGAAACTTATCAAGCTCCTCACAGCGATAGTCCGTTCGGGGAGCTCTCTGTACTATTGCTGCCACCAGTCAAAACTCCCCACTGTGATAGGTGGACCCAACCATGCTTGGAGTTGAACTCGCAACTGAATGACCGTTATGTTTACAAACAAGTGACGACTGTCGTGACGCCGAATACTCTTACCACTGCTAAATTACTTTTCTTTGTTTGTCAATTTGAATTTCTATTTCATTAAAACTATCATGTAATTGATATAGTAAGAATGTAAAGTTGGTTGATTTTTCGTTAGTCTGCAATCTCCAACCAATCTGATTATACAAACAACAAAGTAAATTCATCTGGAAAGCATGCTCAGTCGTAAACCTTTTCAAAATGAAATATGATGGCATTCCCAAAGACATAAACAAAAGTATCAACGTTACTACATTTGCGGTTAGAGGGCAAATTTCAAGATTCTTGTAATGGCCGCGCCCACACTGGTAGCAGCGATGTTACTGAGAGTGTAACGAAGGTGTCGCACGCTGGGAAGGAGCTTGGAAACTTATAGCTAAAGGGAGGCAACTTGTGTCTCAGTACTGTTAAAAATCATTTTATTCGGAAATAATACAGATCTGAGTATCTCTTGTAAACCTATGTAGGCATTCATCAAACCATTTTCAGAATGTTAATATTCATCCCGCAGAAAACATAAAGAGCCCAAATTTGGAATTTTATTGTGCCTATTGTTAAGCTTTGGAAAGGAGATTTTTTGTTCAACAGCTTTGAATACAATATAGAAATATCCCAAAAGCTCAGAAATTTCCAAATTTTGAACAAATAAAATAATCCCTATTTGCCTCCTGTAAACACTTACAGACGTCTTATAATCCCGGGTGAGGCTTTGGACCACACTCAGTCACCACAGTAAAGGATGGTTTCTACTGATGGTTGGTGGTAATGTGATCTTTGTTTGTGACAGGCACAGCCATCCCTGAAGGGCCGACGGCCTACGTGCTGACAGAGGAAGAAAGTGACTTCTGGATATGGAACGCTGGGACAGGAGAACACTTCGTCTACCGCGACAACTACTGTCCTCTGCAGTCAGTCAGCTGTGTCATTAATGGAGAAAACGTGAGTGGGGTGGTGTTTTTAGCTGGTACTGCATGATCAGAAGATGAAAGCAAGTCCGATGGGTATATATAATGGGTAGGCTTCTCAGCAAGCTAAAGCTAACAAATAAAAACTTAGACTGTTTAGGTCTACAGATAAATATGCAGATATTATAATTGGTGTATGTACTAGTTTCTCTGTTTACACACAAACATGTTGCTGGCCATGTCTGTTGATGATCGGGTCAAATTAATCATTGGAGGATCTGGACAAAATACTGAGATCATTGTCATCATTATGAAAATGGTAGACGAAGATTTCGAAAGTCTAACAGGGATGTAGTTGAGCCATGTGACAACTTTTGGCAACTTTGGAGATATAAATTGCGAAAATATTTAGCGAGGACACTAGCGGGATCACTTTCCATTTCTGTGCTTATAAATCTCCGTAGCTTGGGGTCCTTTTCGTTTTGTTGGTGTGGACATTTGACTGCATTTCATACTGTTATGACAAGACCAGGAGGAATTTAAACTGACATGACGTCTCATAAACTAGAGTAGCTCTGATGGCAGTTACTCTGGTGGGCATTCTGATTGTTTGCTGAGAAAGGAAAGGTCTCCAGCACTCTATTGCTTGTCATAGAGGTGACCAAATTGCTTTGTGGTCAGCCTCTGTGACTTTGCTGAAAGATATGTGTAGGCAATTGTCATTTTGTATGCAGTTATGCCATTGTGTAACTAAAAACAAGTTTCAGTTAAAACAATTGACTGTTGTCCCTGTCCGACTGACTTATCACTGACCTTTTGACATAATATTAATGTATATTAATGTGCACATTACAGGGAAACTTGCAACTTCTAGTACCATATGTCAGAGATGAAAATAGGTTTTTCAAACTTAATAATGACATATGATAAAGAGGTTATCACATGTGTGTCTTAAGTTTGTATATATCCTGTATTATGGATAATAGTTGTATGTAGCGAGCCTTGGTTGAACCATGAAACAATGCAAGTCTCGTTCTGTAGGGTATTGATGCTGGTGCCTTTTGAATGCTCGTGATGTTCAATTTCTATCAAGAATTCTGTTTCAATGTACTCAAAGATCATGTACAGCCATTCATGTTCATCTAGTAATCCAGTTTGAACATTCTCTGAGACTACATGTATACGGATGCTGATTTGTCCCACAGATCTGGGCCAACATCCACCAGTACGAGAAGCCAGCACAGCTCACCTTTAACCTCAGTGACACTGCAACGTGGCGTCCTTTCTTCGGGCGCGGATTCCCCAGCCCTGGTCTCAGTAGTATACAGGTATGGAGACGACTTTCTTACGTCGTGTTTGTAGAGCTGGTAGAGTTTGTGGGTCGGAATAGGTCCCTTGTTCATTATGCAGGTTGTAACAGCCTGTCAGGAGTCTAGAGCTACAGTCCAAGGTGGGTACCCCAAGGATGAAAATGGTTGCTCATGCTATCAACCACCCTGTGAGTGGAAGAGGTAGAAATAGGTCTCCAGCACTCTATTCCTTGTTATAGAGGTGACTAAATTGGATTGTGGTCAGCCTCGGTGACTTTGCTGAAAGCCTGTCCAAGTTTCTCCAAAGTGATTAGGTGGTTAATGTCCAAAATCTGCATTATTTTGGGATTTCCTCCAATATAAGTACATAAGGCTGACACACTGTGATGTGTAACTGAAATTCTGTTCAGTGTGGTGTTAAATCCATCTAACTAGCTCACTCACTCACCTGCCTAACAACCGAACAACCACCCACCCAGTCACCCAGTCACTCACGACTGTGGTCTGGTGTTAGAGCGTCTGCCCATAGAGTGGGAGGTCGGGGTCACACCATACCAAAAGACGTTAAAAAGATGGTACTTGTTGTTACCTCTCTCTCTCTCTCACTCACTCACTCACTCACTCTGCCTTGTTCTTGGTGCTCTCTCTCTGCCTTGTTCTTGGTGCTCTCTCTCTCTCTCCCTCTCTCTCTCTCTCACACACGCACACACACACACACACCTGTATAAGGTGCAATAACCTTTAACGCGATGTTACATCCCATTTCACCTCACCTCACTTGCTTATATCCCACCTGTGTGTTAACAGCCAGAGGCGCTGGTGTATATGGGAACCAACAAGAACTATGTGATGGACCTCCAGGAGAAGATTGAACAGATGTTGAAGAACAAGATGATGGAGTGGAGAAGTCGCTACATCACTCGGTGGAACCGCCACTGTACACAGATCATGAGGAAACTCCTGCCAGTGTAAGTCTTGTTTTTACCTAGAATATCAAATGTCACTTTCCTCCTTGATGAAGTGTGAGGAAACCATCCTTTCCTGATATTGTTTTTAAATTGTCAGTTTTATAGTGTAGCCTAGACATATTCTTAATCAATCCAGAAATTAATGTTTCTTGTTATCTTGTTACATCCTATATCAGGTAATCGACACAGACACCTTGAATGATGTGTATAAAAAAAGACATTTATAAATATTGATATGCCTGCAGCCTCACATAAAAAAAATGAAATTGTGGCCTGATCAAGTTGTTTATCTCTACTTTCAGTCTGGAGGAGAACTGTGGCAAGTCTATCGGCCAGCAACACCTGGCAGAGCTGGAGAACTCTTTCAGCTCATATAAGGTGAGACATTGCTACCAGTCGGTACTGTCAGAAGATGGTTGTTAGGGGATTGTAACTGTCTTCCTGGTGCATAAGGTGTGTTGAGATTGGTAGGGCAGGAAGGGACCATAGCATTCACACACCTATAGGTGATGGTCAAGATCTGTTATAATATCCATGCTTCGATGGGCAGCCAGTGTAAAGACTGATGTAATTGACGCCATCATGCCACATCTGCTAACCAAAACCTGCAGACAGGTTTGTGGAGTAGACTTTGATCGATGTTGATGAGCAACCCATTACAATACTCAAGCCTGGATAGATCAGACACCTCACCTGTGTTTGTGGCCGGCACAAGCCTGCATCTCTTTGAGTTTGCTTCAGAAATACTGTATCATCAGTCCAACTTCCTCAAACTTCAGTGAGTGGGTGAGTGAGTTGGGTTTAACGCCGCTTTTAACAGTATTCCAGTTATATCACGGCGTGTCAGCTTAATGTGGGAGGAAAGCCCGAAGTGATGCAGGTCTCAGATGTTTACCATTTCGGTGAAACCCACAAGCACGGGTATGGTGCTGACAAACCTAGAAACATAATCTGGACGAACCGGGATTCGAACCCACAATCATAGGTTTCTTGCGTGCCCAAGGGACGCAACTCTGCACAGCGAATTGCAGCGCCTTAGACGACTTGGTCACCCGTGCCCCCTCAAACTTCAGGGGTTGTGGGGTAGCCTAGTGGGTAAGTATTCCCTTGTCCCGCCGAAGACCCATGTTCGATTCCCCACACGGGTACTATTTCTGGTGTCCCCAAGATGTGATATTGCTAGAATATTGCTAAAGGCAGAGTAAAACCTCTCTCTCTCTCACTCACTCTCTCATTCACTCACTCACTCGCTCACTTTTGCATTCCATCTCCACTGTTTCTGACTTCTTTCAGGTGTCTGGCTTCCCCATGAACATGCCTTTTGTGGATCTGGAGACCATTGTTGAATCTGTGTTCTCCACTGGCGTCCATGCCCAGGAAACCAGCGAGGTAGAGTTCGCACTGGCAGTCTACGTCCACCCCTACTCCAACTCCGTCCTGTCCATATGGGTGTACGTCGCATCGCTCATACGCGACCGATAGTGCCATATGTTTCTCACCCATGTATATAGGAAAGACATTCCACGAACTGTGCCTAGATGGGAATACTGTTGTCAGGGGAGTACGAGGTACGACACTGTTCCCGCTGGCAAGTCACCCAGGACTACTTGTGAAAACAGCTGGCTTTTAATTAGCATATATACACATATGAGAGAGATCTGTGAAGAGATATAGGTACGCATGTTGAAAAGGTTACATTGAGTTGATACACAGTGTTGTTCTAATATTACTGAAAATTAATCGCGTAAGGCTAAAAAAAATAAGTCTTGGTTCTCAGGCACCGTCCACATCATCATAAAGTCCACCACATGTTTCCTTTTTATTTCAATTTAAAAGAAACACACGAACCCAGCAGTGAAATGCTGCAATACTTCAGAACACGATTTCGCTGAAATTATTGTATACAATATTTGGTTTCATACTTGCTTGAAGAACAAACAAAAAAAACACTCTGCCCCCTGCACTTCATTTTTCAAAAGCCATTGCCAGAGAACCATTCTTTTATTTTTTTAAGCCTAATGGTGATATATGTTGTGTATTTTACACCTATCTGGAGCTCTGAACATGTCTAAATATGAAACTGCCGAATTTTATGAAATGTTGACTTCCCGGGGGCTTACATTTTCACATTGCTACCAAAACTTTCAAGTCATTACCAAGTTTATATTTGATAACTGGTTTACTGAATTCTGACATATCAGTTTGGTTTCAAACTTGGTCAACAATGAACTGTAAGCAACAGGTCTTTATGTAGAAAAAGGTCAGAAGTTTGTATTTTAATTGCAGGATTTTCTTAACATCAGCTCACATGAGCAGAAGAAACTCTTGAAACCCTTTTTAATCTGTTTTTTCTGTTCTGGAATTATCTGGTACACGATCTTTCTCCATTTAAAAAATAATGTTGAAACATGTACACCATAATTTCAAAGGGTGAGTTACAAAAAGGCTTTTATTGTTTTTAAGACACATTCTGATATTGCTTCCGTAAGTATTATGTCAAAGATGGATGGATTATTATCAGTATGTCGAAGCTACACAAGACCCTGGAGCAACAGTATTCCTGTTGGGGAACAATGTTTATCTACAGCATCCGTCCATTGCAAGATTGTTAGATGATCTATTTTGTAATATATTAAAACAAGCATGTCCACATATGCTTGAATTATTTATATAAAATATTGATAAACTACATGGACCTTGTTCTTAATGGCAACAGGAAACACCCCAAGTACAATCACCAAGCATTGTCACATGGCCTGATTACTGTAGCGTGTGAACGATGGCAACAGGAAACACCCCACGTACAATCACCAAGCATTGTCACATGGCCTGATTACTGTAGCGTGTGAACGATGGCAACAGGAAACACCCCACGTACAATCACCAAGCATTGTCACATGACCTGATTACTGTAGCGTGTGAACGATGGCAACAGGAAACACCCCACGTACAATCACCAAGCATTGTCACATGACCTGATTACTGTAGCGTGTGAACGATGGCAACAGGAAACACCCCACGTACAATCACCAAGCATTGTCACATGACCTGATTACTGTAGCGTGTGAACGATGGCAACAGGAAACACCCCACGTACAATCACCAAGTATTGTCACATGACCTGATTACTGTAGCGTGTGAACGATGGCAACAGGAAACACCCCACGTACAATCACCAAGCATTGTCACATGGCCTGATTACTGTAGCGTGTGAACGATGGCAACAGGAAACACCCCACGTACAATCACCAAGCATTGTCACATGACCTGATTACTGTAGCGTGTGAACAATGGCAACAGGAAACACCCCACGTACAATCACCAAGCATTGTCACATGACCTGATTACTGTAGCGTGTGAACGATGGCAACAGGAAACACCCCACGTACAATCACCAAGCATTGTCACATGACCTGATTACTATAGCGTGTGAACGATGGCAACAGGAAACACCCCACGTACAACCACCAAGTATTGTCACATGACCTGATTACTGTAGCGTGTGAACAATGGCAACAGGAAACACCCCAAGTACAATCACCAAGCATTGTCACATGACCTGATTACTGTAGCGTGTGAACAATGGCAACAGGAAACACCCCACGTACAATCACCAAGCATTGTCACATGGCCTGATTACTGTAGCGTGTGAACAATGGCAACAGGAAACACCCCACGTACAATCACCAAGCATTGTCTCATGGCCTGATTACTGTAGCGTGTGAACGATGGCAACAGGAAACACCCCACGTACAATCACCAAGCATTGTCACATGGCCTGATTACTGTAGCGTGTGAACGATGGCAACAGGAAACACCCCACGTACAATCACCAAGCATTGTCACATGGCCTGATTACTGTAGCGTGTGAACGATGGCAACAGGAAACACCCCAAGTACAATCACCAAGCATTGTCACATGGCCTGATTACTGTAGCGTGTGAACGATGGCAACAGGAAACACCCCACGTACAATCACCAAGCATTGTCACATGGCCTGATTACTGTAGCGTGTGAACGATGGCAACAGGAAACACCCCACGTACAATCACCAAGCATTGTCACATGACCTGATTACTGTAGCGTGTGAACGATGGCAACAGGAAACACCCCACGTACAACCACCAAGCATTGTCACATGACCTGATTACTGTAGCGTGTGAACGATGGCAACAGGAAACACCCCACGTACAATCACCAAGCATTGTCACATGACCTGATTACTGTAGCGTGTGAACGATGGCAACAGGAAACACCCCACGTACAATCACCAAGCATTGTCACATGACCTGATTACTGTAGCGTGTGAACGATGGCAACAGGAAACACCCCACGTACAATCACCAAGCATTGTCACATGACCTGATTACTGTAGCGTGTGAACAATGGCAACAGGAAACACCCCACGTACAATCACCAAGTATTGTCACATGGCCTGATTACTGTAGCGTGTGAACGATGGCAACAGGAAACACCCCACGTACAATCACCAAGCATTGTCACATGACCTGATTACTGTAGCGTGTGAACGATGGCAACAGGCAACACCCCACGTACAATCACCAAGCATTGTCACATGGCCTGATTACTGTAGCGTGTGAACGATGGCAACAGGAAACACCCCACGTACAATCACCAAGCATTGTCACATGGCCTGATTACTGTAGCGTGTGAACAATGGCAACAGGAAACACCCCACGTACAATCACCAAGCATTGTCACATGACCTGATTACTGTAGCGTGTGAACGATGGCAACAGGAAACACCCCACGTACAATCACCAAGCATTGTCTCATGGCCTGATTACTGTAGCGTGTGAACGATGGCAACAGGAAACACCCCACATACAATCACCAAGCATTGTCACATGACCTGATTACTGTAGCACATGGACGATGGCAACAGGAAACACCCCACGTACAATCACCAAGCATTGTCACATGGCCTGATTACTGTAGCGTGTGAACGATGGCAACAGGAAACACCCCACGTACAATCACCAAGCATTGTCACATGACCTGATTACTGTAGCGTGTGAACGATGGCAACAGGAAACACCCCACGTACAATCACCAAGCATTGTCACATGGCCTGATTACTGTAGCGTGTGAACGATGGCAACAGGAAACACCCCACGTACAATCACCAAGCATTGTCTCATGGCCTGATTACTGTAGCGTGTGAACGATGGCAACAGGAAACACCCCACATACAATCACCAAGCATTGTCACATGACCTGATTACTGTAGCACATGGACGATGGCAACAGGAAACACCCCACGTACAATCACCAAGCATTGTCACATGGCCTGATTACTGTAGCGTGTGAACGATGGCAACAGGAAACACCCCACGTACAATCACCAAGCATTGTCACATGACCTGATTACTGTAGCGTGTGAACGATGGCAACAGGAAACACCCCAAGTACAATCACCAAGCATTGTCATATGACCTGATTACTGTAGCGTGTGAACAATGGCAACAGGAAACACCCCACGTACAATCACCAAGCATTGTCTCATGGCCTGATTACTGTAGCGTGTGAACGATGGCAACAGGAAACACCCCACGTACAATCACCAAGCATTGTCACATGACCTGATTACTGTAGCACATGGACGATGGCAACAGGAAACACCCCACGTACAATCACCAAGCATTGTCACATGACCTGATTACTGTAGCGTGTGAACAATGGCAACAGGAAACACCCCACGTACAATCACCAAGCATTGTCACATGACCTGATTACTGTAGCGTGTGAACAATGGCAACAGGAAACACCCCACGTACAATCACCAAGCATTGTCTCATGGCCTGATTACTGTAGCGTGTGAACGATGGCAACAGGAAACACCCCACGTACAATCACCAAGCATTGTCACATGACCTGATTACTGTAGCACATGGACGATGGCAACAGGAAACACCCCACGTACAATCACCAAGCATTGTCACATGACCTGATTACTGTAGCGTGTGAACGATGGCAACAGGAAACACCCCAAGTACAATCACCAAGTATTGTCACATGGCCTGATTACTGTAGCGTGTGAACAATGGCAACAGGAAACACCCCACGTACAATCACCAAGCATTGTCACATGGCCTGATTACTGTAGCGTGTGAACGATGGCAACAGGAAACACCCCACGTACAATCACCAAGCATTGTCACATGACCTGATTACTGTAGCGTGTGAACAATGGCAACAGGAAACACCCCAAGTACAATCACCAAGCATTGTCTCATGGCCTGATTACTGTAGCGTGTGAACAATGGCAACAGGAAACACCCCACGTACAATCACCAAGCATTGTCACATGACCTGATTACTGTAGCGTGTGAACAATGGCAACAGGAAACACCCCACGTACAATCACCAAGCATTGTCTCATGACCTGATTACTGTAGCGTGTGAACGATGGCAACAGGAAACACCCCACGTACAATCACCAAGCATTGTCACATGGCCTGATTACTGTAGCGTGTGAACAATGGCAACAGGAAACACCCCACGTACAATCACCAAGCATTGTCACATGACCTGATTACTGTAGCGTGTGAACAATGGCAACAGGAAACACCCCACGTACAATCACCAAGCATTGTCACATGGCCTGATTACTGTAGCGTGTGAACGATGGCAACAGGAAACACCCCAAGTACAATCACCAAGCATTGTCACATGGCCTGATTACTGTAGCGTGTGAACAATGGCAACAGGAAACACCCCACGTACAATCACCAAGCATTGTCACATGGCCTGATTACTGTAGCGTGTGAACGATGGCAACAGGAAACACCCCACGTACAATCACCAAGCATTGTCACATGGCCTGATTACTGTAGCGTGTGAACGATGGCAACAGGAAACACCCCAAGTACAATCACCAAGCATTGTCACATGACCTGATTACTGTAGCGTGTGAACGATGGCAACAGGAAACACCCCACGTACAATCACCAAGCATTGTCACATGACCTGATTACTGTAGCGTGTGAACGATGGCAACAGGAAACACCCCACGTACAATCACCAAGCATTGTCACATGGCCTGATTACTGTAGCGTGTGAACGATGGCAACAGGAAACACCCCACGTACAATCACCAAGCATTGTCTCATGGCCTGATTACTGTAGCGTGTGAACGATGGCAACAGGAAACACCCCACGTACAATCACCAAGCATTGTCACATGACCTGATTACTGTAGCGTGTGAACGATGGCAACAGGAAACACCCCACGTACAATCACCAAGCATTGTCACATGGCCTGATTACTGTAGCGTGTGAACGATGGCAACAGGAAACACCCCACGTACAATCACCAAGCATTGTCACATGACCTGATTACTGTAGCGTGTGAACGATGGCAACAGGAAACACCCCAAGTACAATCACCAAGCATTGTCACATGGCCTGATTACTGTAGCGTGTGAACGATGGCAACAGGAAACACCCCAAGTACAATCACCAAGCATTGTCACATGACCTGATTACTGTAGCGTGTGAACGATGGCAACAGGAAACACCCCACGTACAATCACCAAGCATTGTCACATGACCTGATTACTGTAGCGTGTGAACGATGGCAACAGGAAACACCCCACGTACAATCACCAAGCATTGTCACATGGCCTGATTACTGTAGCGTGTGAACGATGGCAACAGGAAACACCCCACGTACAATCACCAAGCATTGTCTCATGGCCTGATTACTGTAGCGTGTGAACGATGGCAACAGGAAACACCCCACGTACAATCACCAAGCATTGTCACATGACCTGATTACTGTAGCGTGTGAACGATGGCAACAGGAAACACCCCACGTACAATCACCAAGCATTGTCACATGGCCTGATTACTGTAGCGTGTGAACGATGGCAACAGGAAACACCCCACGTACAATCACCAAGCATTGTCACATGACCTGATTACTGTAGCGTGTGAACGATGGCAACAGGAAACACCCCAAGTACAATCACCAAGCATTGTCACATGGCCTGATTACTGTAGCGTGTGAACGATGGCAACAGGAAACACCCCACGTACAATCACCAAGTATTGTCACATGACCTGATTACTATAGCGTGTGAACGATGGCAACAGGAAACACCCCACGTACAATCACCAAGCATTGTCACATGGCCTGATTACTGTAGCGTGTGAACGATGGCAACAGGAAACACCCCACGTACAATCACCAAGCATTGTCACATGACCTGATTACTGTAGCGTGTGAACGATGGCAACAGGAAACACCCCACGTACAATCACCAAGCATTGTCACATGACCTGATTACTGTAGCGTGTGAACGATGGCAACAGGAAACACCCCACGTACAATCACCAAGCATTGTCACATGGCCTGATTACTGTAGCGTGTGAACAATGGCAACAGGAAACACCCCACGTACAATCACCAAGCATTGTCTCATGGCCTGATTACTGTAGCGTGTGAACGATGGCAACAGGAAACACCCCACGTACAATCACCAAGCATTGTCACATGGCCTGATTACTGTAGCGTGTGAACAATGGCAACAGGAAACACCCCAAGTACAATCACCAAGCATTGTCACATGACCTGATTACTGTAGCGTGTGAACAATGGCAACAGGAAACACCCCACGTACAATCACCAAGCATTGTCACATGACCTGATTACTGTAGCGCGTGAACAATGGCAACAGGAAACACCCCACGTACAATCACCAAGCATTGTCACATGACCTGATTACTGTAGCGTGTGAACGATGGCAACAGGAAACACCCCAAGTACAATCACCAAGCATTGTCACATGGCCTGATTACTGTAGCGTGTGAACAATGGCAACAGGAAACACCCCACGTACAATCACCAAGCATTGTCACATGACCTGATTACTGTAGCGTGTGAACGATGGCAACAGGAAACACCCCACGTACAATCACCAAGCATTGTCTCATGGCCTGATTACTGTAGCGTGTGAACGATGGCAACAGGAAACACCCCACGTACAATCACCAAGCATTGTCACATGACCTGATTACTGTAGCGTGTGAACAATGGCAACAGGAAACACCCCACGTACAATCACCAAGTATTGTCACATGACCTGATTACTGTAGCGTGTGAACGATGGCAACAGGAAACACCCCACGTACAATCACCAAGCATTGTCACATGACCTGATTACTGTAGCGTGTGAACGATGGCAACAGGAAACACCCCACGTACAATCACCAAGTATTGTCACATGACCTGATTACTGTAGCACATGGACGATGCGATACCTGGCTGATTGTCACCAAACCGAAATAGCATAATCATTGTTCAAGCCGTCAGTCACATGTTTGCCTGGTCCAGGATCCATGATTTACAGGCCGCCATCACATGGCGGTAATATTCCAAAAGATTTGCCAAAGGAACACACTGGACTGTCATTAATCCATCTTGTATACTTGTTCAGTGAATACCGATACCATCAATGGGGTACTATAAAGATCTATTCCAGATGAATCAATAACTAAACAGTGTTGAATGTGAAGCACCAGTCACCAGATGACAAAAGCAGCCAGAAAATAATATTTTTATCTTATCGTGCATTACATATTGTACATTGTTCTTACTCACGAAGTCTTAACTGGAAATGAGAGACGATCTATCAGTACCGTCAGTAACTCTTTTGCCCAACATGACCCTCTGGAGTCGTGACATATGTGCTTGTTGAATTTCATTCTGTTCCAAGCGTAGCTGGTGTGTTTTGCATCCCTTTTATCTCAGTGGACGAGGTTATTCAGCATTTTCAACGCATGGAGGTGAAAAAGGTGGTGGTGTGTACCTTCAGTCCGGTGCTAGGATAGCTGTCACGTCATTGTGCACGTGAACAACCAGACATAACCTTCCATACTTTTAGAAGTCCTAGGCTAATCGTTGGGTAGCCCAGGTGAACGACTGGACGCCACCTGTTCATTCCCACGTCGCTGACTTGTAAAGGAAATCTCCAGGAATACCATCTCCTTTTGGCCAAGATCCACAATCATGCAGGCCTATGATGCAGCAGGATGGGAGCACCCAAGGCCAACAACCCGCATGAGATCTGGGCCCAGGCCTCAACCATGGCTCTCCACAGGATCCAGTCCGTCATTCAGGGGGTGCTTTACCTCAGAGATGTGTCCGTAGAAGAAGTAGATGGCGGGCGTAGTTTTTGGCCGTTGGTGGTCGTCCAGTGGATCACCAACCCCCATGAAATGCAAGTCGAGTGAGATGCAGCCAAACCCCATACCCACTCCGCCAAACTGTTCCCAGGTTTGAAGTTTTTTTGTTGTTTAGATATTCCAGCTATATGACGGCGGTATGTAAATAATTGAGTCTGGACCAGACAATCCAGTGATTGATATCATGAGCATCGATCCACGTAATTGGGATACGATGACATGCATCAACCAAGTCAGCGAGCCTGACCACCCGATCCTGTAAGTCACCTCTTACAAGCATAGTCGCCTTTTACGGCAAGTATGGGTTGCTGAAGACCTATTCTACCCCGGATTTTCACGGGTAGGGAGGAGCTGTACACAGCATTTCCAGTAACTCTTGGTTTCAGGTCATGTCTGGTTGTTCATGTGTGCCATGACACATGGCAGCTATCCTGGCACTGGACTGAAGGTATGTTCTACCACCTACCCTCAAATAAAGTGCAATATGTAATTAGGATAAGTTAAAACTATTCCATAATCAGACTATCATGTTTATTTTATCTCCTTATCCTGCATTACCCAACGCCCGTGACTGATTTCCTTCCTATTGTACCATCAGCCCTGAGGGATGTTTGCAGACAATGACATACAGGGGGGGGGTAGGCGTGACTTCCGACACCAGATGTGCACGAGGGTCATGTCACGCTGCTAGATGGTCATTTATTTCCAGTTAGGACAGTAGTAAGAGCAATGGGCAGTATGTAATGCATGATATAAAATAAATATATAAAATAAACATAATACACTGATTATGGAATTTTGCTGAAAGACTGGCCTTGCCCTTCATAATTCTTGTACAGTTTCTCCATCCTGTCATAATGCTCAAGCTCACAGGCATTTAAAGACTGCATGTCATAATCCATACCTCAATATCTCCATGATCTGTTCAAACCTGCTTAAGTGTCTGTCACCCATTCAACCTGAACGGGGCATTTTCAGGGCCTGGAAAAAAACAACACAAAAACACACAAAAACACACACACACACACACACACACACACACACACACACACACTTCTTACTACTGCATGAGTAGGTACATGTGAACACCTTTAACAGACTGGCAGCTTTGTCAGATAGATGTTTGTCAGATAGATGTCAGTCCAACAACCCGAGGTCACAAATTCAAGGCTGATGAGTGGTCACCCCCCCCAAAAAAAATGGTTACTTTTTTTAGTGACATGTCACCTATGACAGATCGACCTCGGACAGGCTGTGGTGCTGAATTCTAAAAGTACTCCCATGTGAAGACATGGCCAAGATTCAGCACTATTGAGAGCTAAAGCGGATCGAGATCCACACAATAACCAGATCAACAAACAAACAAATCAATGCAAAATGGAAAATGTGTTTTATTTTTCACCATGACATAGTATATGTTCATTTGTAAAGTGCCAAGCAAAATACTCATTTTATACCACAGTATTGTATGAATTTCCACATACCTCCTCAACTACGTATTGTCTAGCTCATTGCATAACTCTCGTCTCCTTCTCCACATTGTACATTGGCTAAGTCCTGGTGAAACACATCACAAACACAAATCCTGGGTCGCTCTCACAGCTGGCATTGCAGGGACGCTGACAATGTTTCAAAGAGGGGGAACTGCCATGTTACAGTCTCTTCAAAACTTCAGTACATTCATAACATTCATCCACAAATACACATTTAATTTCACAGAACAGCACTGTATGGAGATATAAATCTGTTTTTCAAACAAATACATAGTGAAATTATCATTCAAAACTGTTCGTTAACATGCTGAAGAAAATATTGATCATTACTGTGGATAATCTTAATCCAATCCACGGACCCGCCAACAGTTGGGTCTGTGTCAATATATACAACTCAAAATAAGTTAAAGAACACCCATCTTTTCATATGACTATAGTTGGTCAGTCAAGTCATGACTTGTCTAGGACCGGGGCTATGGCCATATGAAAATAAAACTCAGGTTTCGTTATCTTATTTCAAGTAGTATAGATACAAAGAACTTATGAACATGTTAACAAAATGATAGGTACAGAATATATTCATATATCAATAACCTTCATGTTAAAACTTTAACCCACATATCACTGACATCTGATATAACATCAGCATATATTCCAAATTATGTCCATTGACAGAAATTGCCATCCCCTGGATTCAACAGCTTGATGACATCCAAATACAAGAAAATAAAACTGTAAATATCAATTTTCAACATGTTTTAGTTATATCTTTGTCCTATCCAACATTACTTTGTGGTTTATGGCAGACTGACCTTGACCTTCGGCACCACCAAACTCTTACTCCAACATCAAAAAAGGAGATTATGTAGCACCATTCAAAAAGAGCCATGCCATTATTTTGGGATTTATGGATTTTCTTTGGCCAAAATCCAACCATAAATGTTGATCCTCATAACAATAATTAGTATTTGGTGCCAACCAGCAGGTAAGTGTGTTACTTACACAAAAAGCAACCCTTTGAAACAAACATCTTTGTCAATGCGACCCCTTGAAACAAATATCTTTGTCAATGTGTCCCTCATAACATAGCAAAATATAATCTTACTTTCAATTGAAAAAATATTGTTTAAACATGTGTTCACAGTAGTAAAACAGTCTTACAACACATAGCAGATTGGTTATTTTACAGTGCAGTTTATTACACGTATTGTGGTAATTGAAGAGAATGTGATACCGTGTTACACGATAACATGGTACGCGTCAGGATATGAACATAACGATTCATTTATTCAGATACACACCACACCAAAGTAAATCTGTTTAATGATGATATGGTAGAGTTATTCTAAGACAATCCACATTAATATGTTTCATATATACAATGCTATTTCCCATTGAGCTTAATAATTCACCTACAAGAAAAGCTGGGATATTCAGCATTAGTTTCATATCGCAAGAAAGAGAAACATCTTCGTCGTGAGAATTAACTAATGTAGCATCAACCTTCAACATGTCCCAGCTCCGCATCTGACTAATGTTGTTAAACAAGCAGAACCGACGCTAGCTCTACATCATATCAGTGCAACTGCAGATAAATAGGAGCCCTTGGTTACACATCACAACTTCAAATAATTTACAAAATGCATTAAAATATTATTCTTCCAACTTTTTACAGGCATGCATATTGAACATTTTCACCAGTTGGATATATAGTTTATCATATAACTTTAATATCCACCAGAAAGATTTCAGAGGAGTTCTTCGTCTCGGAACAAGTCACACGATTACGTATCTACACTGTAGGTATATTCACAGGTACTGTCCATAGCTAGGACAAGCTTCCCTTACTACTTGGTTCTAATTATCACAAATTTCATCCAAAGAAGGTAAATGTTTTGTTTTTTTTGAAAAAATTTGGTTTCTTCTTCTTCAATCAAGTCATAAGAAAAGCTTGGCCCTCGCTAACCAACACCAAGCTACAAGAAGTGCAGTCCGTTTAGAAAATCTTGAACATTTTGTTCTAAACATCTACAGTGATGATCATTCCTAAGAATAACCTTGTGTCCTACAGAAATAAGTTTAACACATAGCTTTATTTCCTCACACAGAAAGACACGAAAAAAAAAAAAGTTTGTGCAAAGGAAAGTTATTGAAAAGGTTTTTTCCTACCAGCACCACGTTGAAAAGAATTCCCCCACATATAGTGTTAACTTCATGCGGATACTGTTGTCCAAACAACAGCTTATATTTAAAGGGAGAAGCAGGAAGTAGAATATTTCCTAATAATTGTCAGAGATTTTACTGTCTGTTCTAAACTAGCAAATCTTTATGTTATTGAAAGACAAGTATAGAATACTCAATGTAAAATTATTATGAAAATCAAGCAAGACGGTCATGCTGTAAATAAAAACTCAAATTGTCATGGCCTAAAGTTTATCAAACACCCATCAGAAATGAGTGCATGCTTAAACAGCCTATATAGTCCCTAGCTACGTGGACATGAAAGGTTTCTGTTGTACAAACTGAGGCTCAAATCGACAATAAAAAAAGGGGGGGGGCAGGGGGAGGGGAGAGAGAAAGATAAAAAAATTGGATCTTGCATATCTTGAAAAGGTTCACCAAAAAATTGTCTTAACATGGGAACAAGTCAGTGAGAGAGTTCAAAGAGCATGCCTTGATGTCGCCTATCATGGTATCTCAGATAAATGTGGGAGGAAAGCCTAAGAGATGCAGGTCTCAGACTTTTACCACTAGTGGCAACAAAGCCTCAAATTCTACCAACCATCAGGCAAATTGGCAGGCCCTTCAAATGGATTTAAGCATTATGTGACTTTAGCCACTAGTCCAAAGCCAGAGTCTAGTATAGTTCTGTTCGGGCTAGTAAGCTCAGCTAATAATAGTCCATATAATAACACTAAACTCTAATGATGCTAAGAGCTATGTTCGGGCTAGTAGACTCAAGTTTTTAAAAACATGTTACCGAAACTGTCTAAGTCATCCAACACTGCCTTGTCTGTCTGCTTCTCCGATGTTATAATGAATGTCAGCCAGTCGACCAATTGATGATTGACCATTGAACTGGTAACAACTAAACTTATCCTCATCTCCAATACAAATCTACCTTTCATTAGTTGGTTTGCAAAAGATTTGGCCTAAAATTCAAAGGAGGTAGTCATTAGATAACTTTAATAAATTTCAACTTCTAGATAAGTACTGCTAATAATGAGAGTGAGTGAGTAAGTGAGTGAGTGAGTATGGTTTTATGCTGCTTTTAGCAATATTCAAGCAATATCAAGAGGGACACCAGAAAATGGGCTTCACACATTGTATGCTAATTAGGAATGAAAAAGAAGGAAAGAAAAGTTTTAACATGACAAGATTTTCCTAAAAGATTTTTAAACATCTTGTTCACCATTTCTTTCAATCTGCGGTAACAAGTGTTATTTCCATTTCACCAATGTTGTAAAACAAAAGAACAGTCAAACGGCTTTCTTCTATTTTCCATTTCTTGTCTGTCGGTCTGGGGAATCAACTATTAAAAGAACCTGGCCTCAGGTGTCACATCATCAAACACAGCTCTAACATCAGTACAGAATGACAAGAAAGACTAAAAAAAAATTGTGTTGTTCAAGAAGGCATAATAGAAAATCCACGGAAGAATGTGATCAAAATAACCAAAATGATAAAAAAAAAAGAAGCAAAAAAAAGGAAATCCAACGTTAGACGGAAATATCATATAGCTCTGTGCTATTCCATTAAACCTTTACCACCCTAGGCACAGCATTCCACCTCACTTGAAAAGTTCTTCACAACATGGTAGAAACCTGAGATGGCCTACCAGCTGAAACCTATCTTGGAACATACGCGGATGTAAACCAAGTATCATGAATTGTTTCCAACCTTACAACTATCAGCATTGTCAAAACCCCGCTAAAGGACACTAAGTAAACACTATACTGAAGTTTAACCATGGGATAATGCACAAACAATATTTCGTGTGGAACTGGAAAAACATTTTTATAGCTATACTTAATGCACAGAGGGACTCCAAAACCTACAGCTTTCTGAGACTAAAAGTCTTAACTAAAAATACAAATCATTTTCTCAAATCAAGCCGTTTGTGTAGTGAATATTTGAACAAGTGTTGAACAATGACGTGAACATGAGAATAAGTAGCTTGCATTCTCCATCACATGCAAGGTGCCTGGCAGCATAATTAGCATCATGCTATCCTAACAAACGAACAGTTCTCAGAACTGACATCTCGATGGATGTACCTCCCTAAGTAGTAGGCCGCTAGGAAACTACGGGTATCCCATGAGCAGCTCTTATAAAAGCAAACTCCTTGTCTTCTCAGGCACTAAATTGGCAATGAAAGTTAATTTTACCATTGACAAAAAAAACAACCCCCAAAACGCTAGGAAACACATATTTTGTTTGAAAACAGCTTCTACACTAATTTTTAGAAGATGATTTGCCTGAGTACTTCTAGTTTGCCTCAAGGCACAATTTAAAGGCTAAATACATGCTCCAGTGAATTTCTTACAAAATATCAGTACCAGTTTATTGTAGTGGTGAAAAGATACTGCAATGTCCCGATGTGATACATATCGCGATTTGCATATTTACATCAAATGGCATGGGAACTTCTTGACAAATATTACGAGGTTCAAAAGGAAAAGCTATCTGTAGACACGTTTGTAGTGGCTATATTTAGTCGTGAACTTGAAACGCAAATTACAACACATTTTGCTAGGGTCTGACCGACAAAAACCCCAGGGGTCATTAAACAAATAGTAAGTAATTTATTTCAGCAAGTGTATTGTCTTGTATAGATACAGAAAAAAAGACATATCATATTTCGTATCAGCATATGAAAACTCATGATGCACCGGTGCACTGATGTAGCATTCCACAAACAAGTGTCATCAGAAGATGACAAATCCCCCTTCCCTCCCCCCGACAAATTCAAATGAACAAATCATCTGACTGTTACTGTAAGTCCAACTTTAAGAGAAAATTTCCATCTAATCTGTCTGTCCGTATACAAGGGTAGTTATTGAGCTATCAAAGTAATACCATGGAATTGGGATTTGGAATTTTGTATTTTTACGTCAGGTACACACCAATTTGAACAGAGTCAAAGTCAAATGTGTTGCCATGGAAACGGAAAATACATTCTAAAAATCCCTCAATAGCAAAAGGCATCAGTTGTCAACCTGGTCTTTGTATGTTCAAAGTTTCATGAAAGAATACCTATTTGGATTAGACATATGGTCAGTACAAACACACAACTATGAACTGAGTCAAAGTCAAAGTTGTTGCCATGGAAACAGGAAATTCTTTTTATATTTTTTTTTAAATTCCTAAAAGCATACGGCACCACTTCAGCCCCTGATTAATGCATGCACCATGTTAGGATGAAAAATCTTGAATAGCTCCAGAAACGAAAAACGGACAGACAGACCAGATGACAACTTGATCCTACTCATTACATGCCAGGCTGGATAAAAACATGTGCATATCAGATACACTATAGTCAGTTTATACCTGCAACATCTAAAAACCTGTATAGCTGCAAATGAAATCCTGCATTACTAGTTCAAGGTGTTAAACAAAATACAACCTTAATCAATGGAGGCATATGGAAAGGAAGGAAAAGATTGGAAAATTTGTCTCTGCAAATTTGTGTTCTAAGATGCATGACAATCCATCACAGCAAACAGATTTATATGAAACGAAACAAATTTATGTACTTGGTAAATTGAGACAAAGAACTCTTTCATGACAAATATTTCACAGAGATATGTTTCAGTCACCATTTTATATTTGATCATTTTGACAACCACGGAATGGTACGAGCACTTGGGGTTACCCCACTTTACAGATGACTAGATTCAATTCTGGGGTGTCGTCTTCAGGTCTCGGATCACAAAACACACCATTCGTTCTGAGCAGCTCCATTGCTATGACAGAAATGTGGTCACGATGTCTCATTTGTGAACCCTGAAAGCTTAGTGTCTTTCAGGAGTCAACAGTTGCACATGAAAAAAACATGCTAGATGGCACTGGATTCTTTGGCAAGGGGTAATCATGTGGACACATGTAACAAAAGGTTACAGTTACCATGGTTACCTTTGTGTGGTGTTTTACAGATGACTCTCAACAGATGATGTTTAAATGATTCATTTAATCCTTCAATACAAGTCCGTAAATGACATTCGCACCAGCAATATTCTTCAAAGTAATGGTTTCTTTCTATTCATAATCACAAAGTATACTGACTTGTGTTTTCTCAGATGTACTCAGAACAAACTTAAACACAAACAAGAAAAACTTTCAGCTGTCAGTATGAGATAGGCAACTTCCAACAAGCTTAGTGACATGCTACTAATGACTAACATATCCACAAGCAGATAATCGATATCAGCAAATTCTCAATGAAAATGCAAGTAAAGAGAATATTGTGGTAGCGCTAAATCTGCAGACAGTCAACAAGACATCAATACAATTTCCTCCTAGGCAAATATGCATAATTCATATACCTTATAGCGAGAACAGGATCCATATCAAGGAGCGGTTACCATGGATACATGGCTATACTTGGACATTGTAGTAGGTACGTTACTGAAGAGCATTAAGTTTGAGCATATATACCTTTTGTTGATAGAGAGCCTGTGTCGTACCGCCACAGATACAATACTTCAATGTGTACACGATAAACCTCACAAAACACCGACAATGTTATCAAACGCTGGAATGAGAAAAACGTAACAATACACCCCCAGTTAAATTGTACACGAGTAGCTATGGTAGGTTTGTGAACTTGTATAATGTTTCGGGAAGACATTCACACCTTGACGATGTGATAACATGCAGCTGCACGTTTACTTCATGTAGACTTAACAGCAAACACTACAGAGCATCCATGGTTGAAAAATATAACGCATCTATTTTGCACCTACTGCCCTGATGACAAATGCAACCCGTGGTTTTGGTAATTACTAAGCACTCAGTATGCTAAGAGAAAGACATATGGTTGAAATTTGAATAAAAGTTTACAGTGTGGAAAATGAAATTAATGTTCAAAAGTACCCTCAACAGCTCTGCTAAGAATCCAGGACCCAGAATTTGTCTTTGTTTTGCTGCCAGGCAGAGACAAGGAAAGATCTTCTTTCATGCAAAGAAAACAATGTAATACTAGTGATACAGTAGTATGATTTAGTTACTATGCATCGGACAAAAATAAAATTATGACACTTTGCTGAAAAGAAAGGCATCCTGTTTCATCTTCTGAGAATAAAACCTGCTGCACAAAATACATGGTCTTGAATCAATGGTGTATGTTGGCGACGAGACATCAGTGATGTGAATCTCACATGGACTGTGGACCTAGTACTCTCGTGATTTTCTCAATCAAGCTTCTTGCTCACATGATCCAAGAAGACCTAACACAATGGGCAACTGTGGGCATGAGATGACGTCGAAAAATGTGAAATCACAAGTCTGTTGTTTTATCATACAATATATAAATACCTCTCCATAGTTTTCAACATGGTAATTGTCTTTGCAACCAGGGTAACAAATCAAGACCCCAAAACGTCCTCCCTTGAAGCTCTCAAGGGAAAAAGAGAAAAACTAAAAAATAAATTCAAAAATTTCTTCAGAATCAATGTTATCAAATACCAGTTTTGTTTTTCTGTAAATACCACATATAACGCTCAAACTAGCTTTGCGAATCATCCTCCAGAACAGCTGCTCCTGGGAACTGACTGCGAACATGGGACGCTTCTCCCGCGGTCAGCAGAGAGACAGGTGCAAGACAGCGAGAAAGCGGCGGCGGCACACATTATCACTGCAGTGACAACAACTGTAGCCTGTGTTACGAATCATCCTCCGTTTCCGAATCGGATGACGACAGTGTTTCATTGAGCTCCTGGGTATTGGCTAGCTGGTATATTGGGATGTGTTTTGGACTCCATGTTTTGGGAAGTGTCCTGGCCAGACCATTGCGAGGGGTTTTCTTTACCTGCAAAACCAAAGTTTTCAATCAAAAAGACATTAAACTTCAGTTTACAACAAAATACACTGCGAGTTGATGTCAGGTGAGGTGAAATGGGTTTAAGGTTATGTTCAATATGATCGCACTTATAAAGCAACGTGAATGCACACGTGTGGGGCTTCTTTTACTGATTTGGACAAGCCATAGTTTAATAGTCCTAGTCCACCGAGATACCATCTTGCAGTTAACCATGGATTCCCGTCTCAGACACAGTATGCCAACTCCAAGCCATCACGAGGCAAGGGAGTTAACTGACTGTAAAAGTCTAGGTTCCACACTTGCCGAACTAGGCTGGAAGTTTGGGGCTCAACCGTAGTGCAGCGAGTGCCTATTACGATTTATGTCCCTTCAATGTCCCTCAGTGACCACTCAGATTCAACCTCTCATATCACTTGTATTTGCTTCAAATAAATCAGGTCGCCCAGTGAAGATGATCTGATCGATAATCAAGATCTATATTGTAATAAAACAGTCTTACTTCGCAAAGAGCATCAAATCACATAAGCATCTTGATTTAAAACATGAAAAGATATGAAAAGGATCTGTTGACACTAGGTTGGCTTTGCAAATCCTGCAATTGACCAAAATCTGTGCAGCATTTTACAAAACAAATGTCAATTTCATTACACGATATTGATAAGTCTATGCATAGTTCTTTCTATAAGGTATTCCAGCCTAGTTCGGCAAGGGTGGATACTGGACTTTTATAGTTATTAAACTCCCTTGCGAAGACGACTCTAAGCCTATTAGTCCTTGTTTTTTCTACTTAAAGGAGCGCAGGGCAGGGCAACAACAAGTACCATCTATTAATGTGATCAGGAACGACAGTCAGGGATTGAATCCCCACCTGCAGCTCTCTGGGCAAATCCACTAGACCACGGAGCAGTCATGCATGAACTACGAACAAGTGAGGATATGTCATCAGTACTCACAGATGATAACATAAATGTTACCATTTAATTATATCTGCCTGCCATGTCTACAGTCTACTAATCTATCTATCCATGTTGAGGTATGTCCACGTACCATGTCTACAGTCTACTAATCTATCTCCCCACGTGGTAGTATGTCTACCATCTACTAACCCATCTATCCACGTGGTAGTATGTCTACCATCTACTAACCCATCTATCCACGTGGTAGTATGTCTACCATCTACTAATCTATCTACCCATGTGGAGGTATGTCTACCATCTACTAACCCATCTATCCACATGGTAGTATGTCTACCATCTACTAACCTATCTACCCATGTGGAGGTATGTCTTCAGTCTACTAATCGATCTACCGATGTGGTAGTATGTCTTCAGTCTACTAATCCATCTATCCATGTGGAGGTATGTCCACGTACCATGTCTACAGTCTACTAATCTATCTCCCCACGTGGTAGTATGTCTACAGTCTACTAATCCATCTATCCATGTTGTGGTATGTCCACGTACCATGTCTACAGTTTACTAATCTATCTCCCCATGTGGAGGTATGTCTACCGTCTACTTATCCATCTCCCCATGTGGAGGTATGTCTACAGTCTACTAATCTATCTCCCCATGTGGAGGTATGTCTACCGTCTACTTATCCATCTCCCCATGTGGAGGTATGTCTACAGTCTACTTATCTATCTCCCCATGTGGAGGTATGTCTACAGTCTACTTTTCTATCTATCCATGTGGACTATGTCTACAGTCTACTAATCTATCTCCCCATGTGGAGGTATGTCTACAGTCTACTAATCTATCTCCCCATGTGGAGGTATGTCTACAGTCTACTAATCCATCTACCCATGTGGAGGTATGTTTACAGTCTACTATTCTATCTACCCATGTGGAGGTATGTCTACAGTCTACTATTCTATCTCCCCATGTGGAGGTATGTTTACAGTCTACTATTCTATCTATCCATGTGGAGGTATGTCTACAGTCTACTAATCTATCTCCCCATGTGGAGGTATGTTTACAGTCTACTATTCTATCTATCCATGTGGAGGTATGTCTACAGTCTACTTATCCATCTCCCTATGTGGAGGTATGTCCACGTACCATGTCTGTAAGTTTCTGGAACTCCTTCATGTCATCCTCTGTGATCACATACTCCTCTTCGTCCTGCTCATTCCAACCCATCTCGCGAAGCAGCCTGCAGAACAAACAAACCTTAATGTCATGTGTTAAGTGAGTGGGGAAAATGCTTGCAGATAGTTTCTCTTTCAGCATAATCATATGGAGCATAAACAAATTAAGTTAGTCACTTCTTATGACAAGACATAACATGCTTGCAGCCTAGACTACCCAGGTCCCAAGGGGGTTACACCAGTAAAAGTAAAAAGACATGCTACCTATGTAGCCTGATAACATACCACTCAAAAACACTTAAGGACCACCTGATTCTTTGCTGTTACTATAGTTAATTTCAAGCCATGACAGATTAACTATATTAATCATGAAAGCAATGGGTGATCCTTAACTTATTTTGAGTAGCATACATGACAGCCCCAGCAAAGTGAACGCAAAGGGAATGCTTAGTATGTCTGATATGCTTGTTGTTTAGCGTAGTACGCAGCAATATTCCATCTATAAGCCAGCCTGGATATGTACATTAGTCTGGACCAGACAATTGAGTGAGTGAGTGCAGAGCTCCAGATAAGCTACGTATCTGCGTGAAATACGCATCAGAAATGCAGAAATACACAGTAAAATATAATCCAAGCGTATCAACATGATCAAATACGCAACGAACATTACAGATACGCTACAAAAATCAAACTTGTGCGTATCATCAAAATATTGTAAAGTAACCCTGCGTATTCGATTAGCAAATCAGCAACTTATTTTGAAATTATAACGGGCATTCCGTCAACCTTGCCAAACTCCACGATGACAGTTACATCATGATCATTTGCCATCACACTTTCTTGTGGAAGAATCGTGGTATTTTTTAGTCCTATAAATCTCTCGAACCCACACGACACCAGTTTGTAGGGACTAGATGAATAGTGTTTTTAAATATTTAACTTAAATACCCACATGTGTAAAAACTAGTGGGTAACAGAAATCTGAATACGCAGATAGAATAACTGATACCCAGTGATTGTAAAATGCATGGGTAAAATACCCACAACACCAAAAGCTTATCTGGAGCGAGTTGGTTTCAACGCCGCTTTTAACAGTATTCCAGTTATCTATCACGACGTGTCAGCTTGATGTGGGAGGAAAGCCCGAAGTGATGCAGGTCTCAGACGTTTACCACTTCGGTGAAACCCAAGAGCACGGGTATGGTGCTGACAAACCTAGAAACATAATCGGGGCGAACCGGGATTCGAACCCACAATCATAGGTTTCTGGCGTGCCCAAGGGACGCAACTCTGCACAGCGAATTGCGGCGCCTTAGACGACTGGGCCACCCTTGCCCCCGACCAGACAATTGAGTGATTTATGTCATGAGAAACCATATACCCCGTCAGAGTACAGGAACACCATGAAACCAACCTGAACATTCTATCCATTAAGTTGTCTCATTCAACAAGCATAGATTTCTAGGGACCAATTTTAACCAAGGTTCCCTACGGATCCAAGCTACCTCATACGACAAGCATAGATTGCTAGTGTCCGATCCTAACCAGGAATTCCAACAGATCCTAGCTTCTCACACGACAAGGATAGATTGCTAGGGACAAATTCTAACCAGGAATCCCAACAGGTCCTAGTTTAGTTGCCTCACACGACAAGCATAGATTGCACGGTCCTATCCTAACCCGGAATCCCTACGGATCCTAGCTTCCTCACACCACAAGCAGATTGCTCAGGGCAAATTCTAACCTGGAAACCTTATAGGTCTTAGTTGCCGCATGCCGCAAGCATAGATTGCTTGGGCCCAATTCTATCCTATCTAATGTACACTAGTAGAGAGTTGCTACCTCTGCTCAGTGAGTGAGTGAGTTTGGTTTTACGCCGCTTTTAGCAATATTCCAGCAATATCACGGCGGGGGACACCAGAAATGGGCTTCACACATTGTACCCACCTCTGCTCAGCCTCCAGGGAGCTGGAAAGAATGTTGCGGCCAGGCTCTGTGGAGACTTGCAGCTCATCCATTCCATTCACCAGCTGGTCACTTGAGGATTTGCCTGCAGACTGCAACACCAACAATGTAAAACTTACCACAAACCAGAGTTAACTGCTCCAGCTATTGCAAGTCGAATGAAAACATATTTGAAAAAACTTTGATGCAGAAAACGAATACATTTGCTAAACACCACACAGCAATATTCCGCCTACATTATGGCAGACTATAAACACGACCAATTCTTTCATAGGCATTACTTAGAAGTTGACGGATGACAAAGTAGACACAATTTATGGATAACAACTTCTTTAATACTGTATAGGCGACGTTTGGGTATAGATCCTTAAACCGTTGTCAAGCACGACTGTCTTGCTTGACAACAGTATAAGAGGAAGGGAGAGAACAAATACTATCTGAAGCAGGGAGCAAGTAAATGTTGAGACAGCAGTAGGCAATATTCCAGCCATGTTACCTACGGCCTGTAAAATGTCTTGGCGTATGATAACACACAATCAGCTAAGCTTGGCCCCATTCAATCCCCATTTCAGTTGGTTTGTATGACAAGCAGTGATCATAACTAACGGCGCTCCTGGGGTCCTTGAGGTTTGATTCTACAGTGTTATAATCTAAGGATCTCCTAAATTATTTACTTTTAAAGTCATGAAAAGTACCCCTTACCTTTCATTCCTAATTTCATGAGAATGATCTACGCAATTGAGATATGATGCATCAACCAGCAAGCCAGCAAGCCTGACCACCCGATCCTGTAAGTCGACTCTCACGACAAGCATAGTCGCCTTTTATGACAAGAATGGGTTGCTGAAGACCTTTTTCAACCTGGATCGTCAAAGGTCTGTACACTATAAGATACTTCTTAGTTATATAGTAATTCGAACATGCACTGACATAATGGGTGTCCCACTGTGCGTGTCACTGCATGCTGTAGAACAAACAGTTGATTGTTCAGCCTAACACTACATGTTGACAGCTACTTACATCCCCGTTCTCCTGTATTTCATGGCCAGCGATGCCATTTTCTTGCAGGGCCTTGTCTGAGCGCAGAGTCTTGAGAAAGTTGCTCTTCTTGTCACCCAGGTTCTTGGGCTGCGTGACGAAGCGAGTGTTGAGAAGATCCGCAGGGGGTGTGGGTGATTGACGGGAACCCTGGAGACAGAAATTGTCGACCCAAATCAGAAAACAACATAATTTCCCATAGGTCATTAGCTGACCCACGCTATAAGCTGATCCCCAACTTGTCTTCAAATACCTTGGATATAGATCGGCCATTCAATAATCAACGTACGGAATACTCATGTCCCCTGCTAATGGTATGTTAAATGAAACTTTAAACAATTCCTAGATAACGCAAGGCACCAGTTCATGGTTAGACATATCTGTGCAAAGTTGATCAACAATATTGATCAGCCTTCAAGTTATGCACCGGAAACCAACCCTACTCTCATGTAAACCTAAGTCCTGTTTGTTGTCATAGAAACCAGACAATGTAAAACATTTGAAAATTCCTAAACCCAGTCCATGGGTGATATCTGTGTATAGTTAGATCTATGAAATAATGAAAAGTCCATGTTATGCTCTGGAAGCCAACCCTTCCCTCATCTGAACCTAAGTCCATTCTAACAATCAGTACTTCAAGTGTACTTGGTGCATGCTGCTGAAAGTAAAAACAATTTTTATCATAAACACTCTCGAGACTTTTCTCAATTCCTACCTAATTCAATCTTCAAGCCCCTAAAAAAGGTGTCATGATTTTACATAAGTTAATGATGGCTGTAAATTATAAGACAAATGTGCACATAATCTCGAAGTTTCCAGTTTGGTGATGTCAAGCCCAAGAAAGCATGACAAATTACACCTAACACAGGGATGTAGTATGGTACATAAAGCCAGGTATTGAGTATGTTCACACATTGTATACATGGGGAAAAAAGTAAGAGGAGGTCACACACAAATCTGTAATGTCCTTACATGCACTTGTTGTATGTGTACATTAATATAAGGTTGCACTTTTCAATAATAGGTTGCACTTTTCAATGATAGGTTGCACTGATGCATGTTTTACATAGTTAAAGCCGAGGTTCCGTTTATCAGGCATGTACATTCTGTTATGCCATCAAAATATGAGCCCCAGGGTTCTGAAGCCTGAACTTTAATGTAAAAATGGTGGCCATGTTCAATTGGATCAGCATCCTATGAACACTTTTCGAGGCACCATAGCTGGGATTATTCATGCAAAGTTTCAGCTCCATAGGCCTTCCTTGTAGTTCTAGAGAAGATGATAACCAAAAGTGAAGGTCAAAGGTTGTAAAATGATCATGAAACGTGCAGAAATGGCTGAGTAATGAAAAAAAAAGAAGGTAATTTCAATAACATGAATAAAGCTTATAACAAACTTTCAGAGAACTAAAGAGCATGTTCAAACCACAAAGGTTAAATCAAGGTAAAAATACATAATAAAATGAACACACACGTTGGGCCCAGTACTAACTACACATGTTCCAAACTACATTTTGTAAGCAATTGTTTTTCAATATAGACTCCTCTTGGAACAAAAATCAGGGGTCATCTTACGAGGGAATAAGCATGTGAAGTATCCTCTTGATTGGTCAAGTGGTTTTTGAGATGTTGTTTTCAGACAACGCCAATGCCTGACAAGCAGGCCATGACATAAGCTCATTTGACTTTCAGTCAGCTTTTCTGCTTTTTCTTTTTTTTTAGTAGCAACACCTCCTGCAGTGTTTCATCCACACACAATTGACAGGGCGGGAAAAGAAATGCATCCAATTTATCACAATAACGTTTTGGTCAGGTGCTTTTTGCTGCAGACTTTCAATCCGTAAAGCCAAACTAATGACCAAATACACACCTCTTTCCCGGACTGAGCTAGAGTAGGTGACATGGGTTTCATGGACGCTAGGGGAGACTGGTCTTTATATCCTCCGTTGACGCGGGCACCCTCACGTGGGTTCTTTCTCACAATTGTCCCCTGGAAATACCATAGCATGGCGATTAAGAGACCAAAGTAGCCAAATCATGGCCTAACCACCACCACCACCATGAAAGTTTTATCAAACTAATGCAATACAGCTCCCTATGTTGCATTTCTGTTAACTGAACAACTTCAATTGGACAAACCATCATCACAAATAGGTTATGTTTCAACGATGTCTATCCTTGTAGCAGGGTGTTTCATTATAAGATGTCGACTTGTACAAACCTTTGGAATTAAGGACTTGTAGATGTTGGACCCCCCGTGACTTCTGCCATCTCGAAACATGTAATCTCCATCGTCACCCTTTCCTGATTTGTTTATTGGACGGTTGTCTGAAAAATGATTAAGATCAAAGTCAGAATAATATTGACAACACTGAGAACTTCGCCATCTGTATTGGCAGCTTGAAAACAGTTGTATCACAACAGTCAGAATCTGTTAGCCATTGACACAATGACTTGGTTCTTCATGATGCTTCTGTAGTAAGGGTGGGGTGAAATGGGGTTTAACATTGTGTTCAAGATTGTTGCACTTATATAGCGACGTACATGCATGCATGTTTCTACTAGTCCTGACTGAAGCCGATTTTATAGTGCTAGCCAACCAAGACACCATGCCATAGTTTAACATGAATAGTTAGTTGGTTTGTTGTTTAACGCCTAGTCAGCAATATTCAAGCTATATGACAGCTGTCTGTAAATAATCGAGTCTGGACCAGACAATCCAGTGATTAATATCATGAGCATCGATCCACGCAATTGGGATACGATGACATGCATCAACCAAGTCAGCAAGCCTGACCACCCAATCACGTTAGTCGCCTTTTACGACAAGCATAGTCACCCTTTACAGCAAGCATGGGTTGCTGAAGATCTTTTCTACCTCGGAATATTCACGGGTCTTAACATGAATACTCCACTCAGACACAGAATATTGACTGAGCCGACCAATCCTTGTTTAAGCCCCATAATGCCCCATAATGCAGAGCGCCAGGTAGTGTAACAACAAGTACCATCTTTTAATGTCGTTTGGATTGACATGGCCAAGGATCAAACCCATGACCTTTCGCTCTCTGGGTTGACAATCTACCACAAGTCCACAGAGGCGGTCACATCTGCAGCGACTGTCTCCGATAACAAGCTACTGGAACCATGGCAAGCACAACGAACTGTTAACATATTCTGCCTCAGAGACCCTTGCTAATACAGAAGAACTGTAAGTACCAACTTTAAAATGAGGGCTGGAAACTTAACAGTCCCAACAACACAAATATTACTGAAGATCAACCTTACAGCAAATGACTACCAAAGTCCATCATTAACATCAATTTTAAAGTTGGATTATTAAATGTTCTAATGATTCAAGATTCAGTGGAATATTTGGAAAGAGATGTCTCGGCTGCTACTTACCCCACACTCCTCCCCCACTGGGCGACTTAGTGGTTTTAGATTCCGTTGTATCTTCACTGCCATTTAAAGATGGCTGAAACAAAAATCAGTGGTAAGTAAATATGTAACATGTACTAGTCCAGACATAGTCCACTGAGATACCATGCCACAGTTTAACATTGATACCCCACTCAGTCAGTTAGGAAACTGAGCCGACAAGTCCTATACAATCGCCTAGTGCAACAAGCATAGGTTGATGGGGATCAATTCTAATCCGCTCTTACAAATATTCCAGCAATATCATGACTGGGAACACATAAAAATGTATTTCAGAAATTATACCCATGTGGGGAATCGAACCTGGGTCTCAGGAGTGACGAGCGAACGCTTTAACCACTAGCAGACACAGATAGACACACACAAGCACCCACACAGACCCACACAGTGAACGAGAGGGAAGGACAATACGCCAAGGGGCTGCTCCACAAAGTGATATTTGTTCTTGGACAATCATCGCTGCCACACTTTGACACTGACCTGCAACAGCGTCAGTGCTAAGATCACTTTGTGGAACCAGGCCCTGGACTTAGATTAACTATGAACATACAAAGTCATCTGAGAATGGCGGCTCCTTCTCTCCTTCCTTTTCCTTCTTATCCGCTCCTTCCTTCTCCTTGCTCTCCTTGGAGTTGCTGCGAGACTCCTTGTTGTAGTAGCTGCGCTTGTTGGGGTGGGGCGGGTAGCCCGGGTAATAGGGGGGCTCGCCAGGGTAATAATCATAGGGATAGAGATCATAGTAGCCCGGCGGGTAGCCGCCGTTCAGCTGCTGGAAGAAAACAGGGTCAGGCTACGCTTAAATAAAACTGTCAACAAAGTGAACTTGTTCTTGCTATAAGACATTACTACAGGCCAACCTTTTCAGATTTTTACATACCTATCCCAAATGCGAACTGCCATGGGACATCTATTCACACATAATCCCTATTAGTATTTTTACTTTTCAAGAGAAAAATGAAAGTAATAACAACAATCATTTTGATTAATTACAACGACCATTTGTCCATGTGCAGGAAGAAAATGTCTTGAAAAACAAAAAAATTCAAACTTTGTAACCAGTATATGAAATGAAGCATGATAGTCAAGAAGTCTGCAAAAGTTGAAAATTTAGGTCCCTAGAAGCAAATCTAAAGGACCTCCTTAATTTCAAACCCTGATAATGTTTATCATAACTGCCTATAATATCAAACCAAACAACATTAATTGTTACGTCTCCATGTAAGATCTAGCATGTAGGTACTGAACTATGGTTCAGTCATCTTCATAGTTATCATGGTTATACAATGAATGAGTGCGTGAGTGCGTGAGTGTGTGAGTGAGTGAGTGAGTATGGTTTTACACAGCTTTTAGCAATATTCCAGCAATATCACGGCGGGGGACACCAGAAATGGGCTTCACACATTGTACTTATGTCGGTAATCGAACCCAGGTCTTTGGCGTGACAAGCGAACGCTTTAACCACTAGGCTACCCGACCGCCCCCATAGTCATACAAACACAGTCAGCATGTAGACATTCATGCAGTATGAAATCTCAATAGAATCACATGTCTGGCGCGTGTGTGCGAGCATGCATGCGTGTATGTTCGCATCGCTTAATGACGCACTCAATAATATTCCAACTATATGACAGCAACTTGTAAATAACAGTCTGGAGAAGACAATCCAGTGATATCTTGAGCAACAGTCAAAATGGTCGTGTTAGGTGACACGCTACTAAGTAACCAAGCCTAACCAACCAAACCATTGTCGCCTCTTTCGACCAGCCTAGGTTGATAGGAACCAATTCTAACCCGGAATCCCCACGGGTTCAACACTAGTAGATGAACTCTCTGTAGTAACTACTGCTTCATACCTGCCCAAATCAGGTCTCAACACTAGTAGTAGTAGATGAACTCTCTGTAGTAACTACTGCTATATACGTGCCTACACTAGTAGTAGTAGATCAACACTTACATTAGTTAATCAATGCCTGTATTAATCACTGCTACATACCTGCCCAAATCATGTCTACACCTGTAGTAGCAGATCAACACTTACATTAGTTAATCAATACCTGTATTAATTACTGCTATATACCTGCCCAAATTCGGTGTCTACACTAGTAGATCAACACCTGTATTAATTACTGCTACATACCTGCCCAAATCGGGTGTTGGGATGTTGGTATTTCCCATCACGAGGAGGCCTAAACAGTGATGGTTGAGAGCTGTACTGCATTCCAAATTTATCATATCCTGAGTAGCCATTGTAGTATCCATAGTGACCGTAAGGATATGGGTAAAACTCGTCATCTACGGAGTGGTGTCTATACTTGCCCTGCCCTGGTGGGTACCGCTTCCCTGCAAACAACAAATACGGTTTTAAGAAAAGAAAATATTTTGGTATTAGTCAATTACTTTTGAAAAGTAACAGCACCAAAGGTTTCAAAGTGAGTCAAATGTCTGATGGGAGTGAAATATCCATCCATCAAGTAGACAAACTTTCAGAAAAAACAAATGCGTCATTCTATAGCAATATCTTGCACCCAGTACTTTCTGACTTCCATCTTTAAATGTGAAGTTGTAATCATGATTACCCATGTCTAATGAGTGAGTGAGTTTGTGAGTTGGGTTGTAACACACTTTAAAAAGTATTTCAGTTATATCATGGCATCTCAGCTTAATGTGGGAGGTCTCAGACATTTAAAACTTTGATGAAACCCACGAGCACAGGTATGGTCCTGACAAACTTGGAAACATAATCAAGGCAAAGTGGGATTCCAACCCACAATGAGGTTTTTGGCCTGATGGCCCCATGTTTAAAATTAAGTAAATAAGTAAAAGGGTTCTTGTCTTAATTCTAATGTTAAAATGAAGTTTTTGGGTGTCCAAAGATTTAAATATACAGAAAACTATGGTTATAACGAACTAAAAAAAATGAAAAATGAAAAATATGAAGTGCTCTTTTAATTCTTTTGAGTAGTATACTATACATGCTATAGCAGCAAACTCCGTAAGTCTGAACACTGATTACTAATGGAAAACCTCAGTAACTCTGAACCCAAATTTTGAGAGTGCAAGTTCAATTCTCACCAGTATCATTCACATCACATCCAAATGAGGGATTTATCAGAAATTCCAAACTAAGTGCCTTTGGCGGGCAAATTATTTCAGAAAAGGACAAAAGTTTAAAGTTCTTATTTTCCTAAATTCAGAGGTATTTTAACATTCAACATTAACACTGCCTTCAATGCAATTAGGTTAAACTAAGCATTAAAACCTCTTCCTACATACATATGACATACTGATCGTGTTATCATTGAAATACAAGTCAGCAGCACAAAGCCTTTATATCAGTAATAACTTAACAGCATGAATTGGGAATTTATAAATTCCAACTGGGAAATTTTTACTGACATTTGCTGCAAAATATCAGCCTCAAATCAGGTCTAGATAAATCCCTGCAAATGTCACATCAACATTTAGCGATCTGGATCCTGACAGTGAAGGTCAGCTGGGCCCTTGACCATGTCGACTGTCGCTGTCTGCTAATTAGTGAGACGTAGCAGAATGACCTCCTATTTATGTTACTTTTCAAGGGGTCACTTGCCAAATCATTTCAGACCTGTCCTACACATTTTACTATCAAAGAAGTGAACACTCCCCTGGTGGATCATCAACACCTTCCCAGTTTTAGAAACTGGATATTCAGGAAAGGGTCATGAATGTGGTCACCGTTTCCGTCCCAATCATATTTATCAACAAAAACTAAAAAGGTAACCAAGAGAGGTTGGTCCTAACAAAAGTCTCTTTGTCATAATAAAGTAAGAAAAGCTCACTTTTGCACAAAAAAACTATTCAAGAAACATGAACAGCACAAAACATAATTATTAAAGAAACTTACTAACCAAACTCACCACTTTCAAAGTAGTTGTCAAAAGAATGTTGTCTATGTAATCTAGCGTAATCTGGGCCATAGCGGTTGAAACTATTGTGGTAATTCTCTTCTCTACGTGGGCGGTTAGCTTTATCAGACATGTGCTCAGAGTGTTTGGATCCAGATGACTTCTGGAAAATAAAATGATGCAACATGATAAAGCATGTCATCACTACAGTTCAAACATAAAGAGTTTATATCAGCCATGTTTTATGTTGTCAAGTAGGTGCAAGGTACAAATGAACACAAGCTTGCCAGCCTACATCCTCTATACCTCCAGGGCTCGCATACACTATCCCCTGGAAACATTCCCATGGTTCCTGATGTCAAATTACCCACCCTTGATTTGCATTAACATTTTACAGACCAAACTGAGCGAGCGAGTGAGTGAGTTTGGTTTAACGCCGCTTTTAAGATTATTCCAGTTATATCACGGCGTGTCAGCTTAATGTGGGAGGAAAGCCTGAAGTGATGCAGGTCTCAGACGTTAACCATTTCGGTGAAACCCACAAGCACGGGTATGGTGCTGACAAACCTAGAAACATAATCAGGGCAAACCGGGATTCGAACCCACAATTATAAGTTTCTGGCGTGACCAAGGGATGCAACTCACCACAGCGAATCGCAGCGGCTTAGATAACTGGGCCACCCATGCCCCCTTACAGACCAAACTATGCCAACATATAGAAAAAGGAAAAGATATCTGTCAGGGAATGCTTGGTAGCAAAGAGACTTGCCACTGCCAATTTTAATGGACACGACGACATTCTGTTGCGTGTCAGTTTTTCAGTTTTGGATAGATCTCACAAACCATCATAATCAATGGGACTGGCTGCCATGTTTTCGATATCGCCAACCCAAAATTGTGGCTTGTTTGGAACATATTCTGATTGGTCCGTTAAACTGACCAGCATAGCAAATCGAATTGGCTAACGAAAATCAAGGTGGGTAATTGAGATCGCGAGAACCACGGGTGGAAACGAGTAAGAGTAGGTTTACCTCCATGCAAGCCCTGGACACATGGAGAATGGCCAGCCTGTGTACACATGTAATGTCCAATGCAACTGAACTTATTTCAGTTAATCAGAGCGTGGTAGCTGAAGCAAATGAGTATGTTCTAACATCGCTTTGATCAGTATTTCAGTTATATCATGGAGTGTCAGCTTGGTCATGTTGATGTGGGGGAAAGACAGAAGTGATAGGTCTTAGCAGTGGTAGAAACTAACACTTTTAGTCCACTGGTCCTTATAATGATAACATATAGCAAAACCCTTAAAAATGGCAAATTTCTACTAGGCCTTACGATACCTTAACTATTGAGCAGTTTGGCAAAGACTAGTGCTAATTTCTAACACTGCTGAGATGTTTACCACTTCGGTGAAACCCACAGGCTTGGCTATGGTGCTGACACACATAGAAGTATACTCAGGGCAAATAGGATTCGAACCCAGGGTCATAGTTTCCTGGCCTAAGAGACACAGCGCTACACAGCAAATTGCTGCACCTTAGACAACCAGGCCACCCCTGCCTCCCTCCATCTGAAGTGAATACAGTAGGAAAGCTGGAAAGTGTGAACTTTTACTGCAGTGATGGGTTGGTGGTGATGAAAGCTGCAGACATGGGTTGGTGGTGATGAAAGCTGCAGGCATGGGTTGGTGGTGATGAAAGCTAGCTACAGGCAAGGGTTGGTGGTGATGAAAGCTACAGACATGGGTTAGTGGTGATGAAAGCTGCAGGCATGGGTTGGTGGTGATGAAAGCTAGCTACAGGCAAGGGTTGGTGGTGATGAAAGCTACAGACATGGGTTGGTAGTGATGAAAGCTGCAGGCATGCATGGGTTGGTAGTGATGAAAGCTACAGGCATGCATGGGTTGGTGGTGATGAAAGCTGCAGGCATGCATGGGTTGGTGGTGATGAAAGCTGCAGGCATGCATGGGTTGGTGGTGATGAAAGCTAAAGGCATGCATGGGTTGGTGGTGATGAAAGCTACAGGCATGGGTTGGTGGTGATGAAAGCTACAAGCATGCATGGGTTGGTGGTGATGAAAGCTACATGCATGGGTTGGTGGTGATGAAAGCTACAGGCATGCATGGGTTGGTGGTGATGAAAGCCACAGGCATGCATGGGTTGGTGGTGATGAAAGCTAGCTACAGGCATGGGTTGGTGGTGATGAAAGCTACAGGCATGGGTTGGTGGTGATGAAAGCTGCAGGCATGCATGGGTTGGTGGTGATGAAAGCTACAGGCATGCATGGGTTGGTGGTGATGAAAGCTAAAGGCATGCATGGGTTGGTGGTGATGAAAGCTACAGGCATGGGTTGGTGGTGATGAAAGCTACAGGCATGCATGGGTTAGTGGTGATGAAAGCTACAGGCATGCATGGGTTGGTGGTGATGAAAGCTACAGGCATCGGTTAGTGGTGATGAAAGCTACAGACATGCATGGGTTGGTGGTGATGAAAGCCACAGGCATGCATGGGTTAGTGGTGATGAAAGCTACAGGCATGCATGGGTTGGTGGTGATGAAAGCTGCAGGCATGGGTTGGTGGTGATGAAAGCTACAAGCATGGGTTGGTGGTGATGAAAGCTACAGGCATGCATGGGTTGGTGGTGATGAAAGCTACAGGCATGGGTTGGTGGTGATGAAAGGTACAGGCATGGGTTCGTGGTGATGAAAGCTACAGGCATCGGTTAGTGGTGATGAAAGCTACAGGCATGCATGGGTTGGTGGTGATGAAAGCTACAGGCATGGGTTGGTGGTGATGAAAGCTAGCTACAGGCTTGATTAATGGCAATGGAGAGGGCCCACTCCGCCAATGGTGATCTAACCCTTCGTGGTGGTCCCCATCACAATATTGACCCCAAACTGTGATTGCAACCATCTAATCCCCACTTTAGTCAGCTTTTATGATGGTATGGCAGTAGAACACTTACAGGATTCTCTTGTGCTGGAATCTTTAGCCATGCTGGCGCAAAATCATTCTTTGGAGCGTTGTGGGCGGCCATCACTGGGAACTGACCATCTTGACAGTCTGAAACCAATAGCACCAGGACATGTACAACACATTACATTTTCAATGTACATAGAATCCAGAAATAGATCCGAGTTAGATGAAACATTTATATAGGCCACAGCAATATTTGGTAGTGTTCCTTCCAGAGCGTTGTATCGATATGTATTTTTTAATAGGAGTAAGTATCATGCTAAGAGTAAGAAGTTTATAGGTCACACTGAAAGCTTCAGGCAAGCTACAAACATCAAGGCCACCTTTATCCCCATGTCCAACAAGAAAATACTGATATTAAAACAAGTGATTAAATCTTGTCATATTTAATGCCTTTAGTAAAAAAATTAATTCTGATGTCAACAATAGAACCACTACTAACTTTTGTTTGTTGTTTAATGCCACACTCAGCAATATTCCGGAGATATCATCAGGTCTGGACCAGACAATCCAGTGATTGACATCATGAGCATCAATCCAGGCAATTGGGATACGATGACATACATCATCAACCAAGTCAGCAAGCGTGACCACCAGATCCCGGTAGTCGCCTTTTACAGCAAGCATGTGTAGCTGAAGACCTATTCTACCCCGGACCTTCACAGGCCGCCACTACTAACTGCTTTAAGCAAGTGGTGTAATAATGTGATAGAAAAACAGGAATGACAATAATTCCAGTGTACAATAATCGAAATAATCTACACTCAAGATTTAGGCCCTATGATTTCAGTTTGGCAGATCAATTGCAGCACTTGACTTTCATTATCAGTGAGTGAGTGAGTATGGTTTTACGCTGCTTTTAGCAATATTCCAGCAATATCACGGCAGGGGACACCACAAATGGGTTTCACACATTGTAACCATGTCGGGAATCGAACCCGGGTTTTCGGCTTGACGAGCGAACGCTTTAACCACTAGGCTACCCGACCGCCCTGACTTTCATTATCAATCAACATGACTAGTACCATGAATACAAGGACACGATATGTACCTGTTATGGCTGTTAATGGACAGAGCAAATATAAAAGACAACTCTGGGACCTAAACAGTTACGTGGGAACATTGCCAGGATAATTACAGAATTTCACAGGAGAATCTTTCTCCTTTAACATATGTGTTCAGGGTTTTACGCGATGCACAAATGTAGAGAATGGACGCAGAAGAAAAATAATGCGTCCCGCGAGAGCACAATATTATTCATTGCACCTGCATAAAGAGAAGTTATGGGCGTCTGTCATTTCACCCATCATTCACGACCTTTGTACACATGATCATTGATTACTCTAAAGTATTTAAATTATCAAAATGTACAGTACACACAACACTACACCATTCCATTACAGGGCCCTCATACTGCCTGCCAACTTAAAATTAATTCAGAGCTCCAGATAAGCTGCGTATCTGCGTAAAATACGCATCAGAAATGCAGAAATACACAGTAAAATAAAATCCAAGCGTATCAAATACGCAACAAACATTACAGATACGCTACAAAAATAAAACTAGTGCGTATCATCAAAATATTGTGAAGTAACCCTGCGTATTCGATTAGCAAATCAGCAACTTATTTTGAAATTATAGGCATTCCGTCAACCTTGCCAAACTCCACGATGACAGTTACATCATGATCATTCGCCATCACACTTTCTTGTGGAAGTATCGTGGTATTTTTGAGTCCTATAAAGCTCTCGAACCCACACGACACCAGTTTGCAGGGACTAGATGAAGTGTTTTTAAATATTTAACTTAAATACCCACATGTGTAAAAACTAGTGGGTAACAGAAATTTGAATACCCAGAGAGTATTACTGATACCCAAAGATTTTAAAATGCATGGGTAAAATACCCACAACACCAAAAGCTTATCCGGAGCTCTGTAATTATTGGGAGTCCCCTGGACCCCCACTTTTGTAAGACAAGGTAAAACCCTGCATGGTGTGTGCATGACCATGCTGACATCACTGTGTATCCATACTACAAACATACTGCAAGATTATGTTTCCCACTGACTGCCCTAGACCATAATCTATAGCGACTGTTTAAAACCTCCAGCTCCTGTGTTAGTTTCCATCAACTGAGGGACAAAAAGACAAAGATTTCATCGCCTTCCATGTGTCATAAATAAATATTATTAGCATATTTCCTTATAAAGAATAGCTTTCAACATGTTCAACTACAGTAACAATAGTATGCATATTTGGAGTGATAATTAATTATTAAATATTCATGAAACATTTTTGTTTGATTATATAGAATGAATTATTAAAGACATTTTCTGAACATGTGTTTAACATGTCCAAGTTGTTGGTTCAGATATCATGATATATACTACTTCAATTTTTATAGGAACATGTTTATTTTTCCATGACAAAAAAATGATTCTCAAACTATATTAAGTGAGAATGACATATCTGATCATCCCTATCTAATGTTGAATAGTAAATTATTAACAACTGGGCACTGGACCCCAAAATCACATGCTTCATATACATATGCTACAAATTCGAATCATGCAAAAAGAAAAACCAAGAGGAAATACTGTCAACTTGAACACTTCAAGTCTTTATCATCTATATAATAAATAGAGGATTCATCACGAGTGTTTTTTAATATGGGAAATATCAACCGAGTCTTAGTTAATCGGTATTTGCCGAGCCTTTGGCGAGGCAAATACCGATTAACGGGACGAGGTTGATATTTCCCATATTAAAAAACACGAGTGATGAATTCTATTTATCATTTTCACATTTTTGCTTCCCTTTTAAGGAATAATTGCATTAACATTTTCATCAGCAACTTGTCGAAATCTTACGTATAGATCGTGCGTAGTGATACATGTTTTCCATAGCCGTGTAAACCAAAATATACAACCTCTTAACTCCTTTATAGCATATTCCTTCGCTAATTTGCATACTTATGTCATTGGTTGATGATATACATGTTTTTATGTCATAAGCTTATGTCATGGATAAATGCTTTAGTTAAATGATAAATAAAATATATTACCTATTTACATTACTAGACAATGAAGAAGTTGTCTGAGAAGCTTTCATAAGCTTGACATCTTGAACACTCAACCATCACAACCAGACCTAGGTCCCATTCTAATCTCACATGTGCAACTGTAGTGACATATAACACCATAGTGGCAGTCACAGCTGGTTGAAACACTATACACGTGCTACAGTAGCAAGAAATCCTAGTCAAGCAACATGTCTACAGTGTTGGGAAGAATCAGTAAAAGAAAAAAATCATGGGCGATCATTATCATAACTGAGAAATGATTGATCAAGAATGGGTACAGTGAATTGGGTTACATTTCAATTTGACATTTTTTCAGCAATATCACAGCATGTCACAGTTGAATGTCGAAGGATTGCCTCGAGCAGTGCTTGAGTTGTTTCAGTGTCCGAAACAACTGCCGGCTCGTCTGGCCCTGGCTGGTAACTTTTCTGTTGGACTGCATGAAATTCTAAAACTAATCATAATTCAGTTTTTTTATAACTCCTTGTAAATTCTCAAGTAATAAATATTTGTATTATTTCAACTGAATCAAAGACGTGATTTGTCTCTTAATTTTTTGTAACGAATTTTCAATATTTATAACTTCTGAATGCGGGCAGGTAACTTTGAAAGTGGCAGGCAACACTTAAGGGTCACCTGCCCGACTCTTGTTGGGAGTATTCAAATTATTTCAAACACTGAGTTGTTTACCACTTTGGTGACCCACAAGGCATGTGCTGACACACACCAGTCTGGGATTCCAACCCAAGAACATAAGATTCTGGCAAACATTAGCAATGTATGCTTGATATGAAATAAACAAATTAACAAGCAAACTCAGCAAATGATATTTTAGACTACCATGTATTAAGGGTGACTATATGAGGCTATCTTCACTACTCTGATTGTATTGCAATAGCATTGTGATAGTAGTAAACCAACTTTAACCTATTGTTTAAGGCGTGATAATTATATAAATCAATGTAGTCAATGGTAATAGAATAGCTGACAATCTCAACAACGGACATTTTCCTCCGTTGCTACTCAAAACCAAGGAAAGTAACTCAAATCTGAACATGAATATTTTAGTTTTTAGGAGCAAACAGTAAAACCTTAAACAGATATTGTCACCATTTATATTGACTTTTAGTTAGCCAATAAATCTAGGTCGCCAATCATAGATTTAAGTCACGTGTGGCCACCAAATTGGCCGTTACTTAGAGGACTGTCGTCAGGCAAACAATTGCGATTCATCGCTACACTCCTATCATGTATGCTCTGCAACGCACCTCTACCAAGACCAGTGTTTGAAATAATTTTAAAATCCAATAAGACAATCGGGCAGGCAAATATAAGAGACAAATCACATCTTGATCCAGTTGAAATAATGCAAACAGTTACTTGAGAATCGACAAGGAGTTATAATAAACCTGAATCCATAAGTTGTCTCAAAAGTATCTGACAGACAGTCGGGCAGATGGAGTTAAGTTTCATGCAGCCTGACAGAAAAGGCAGGCAGGCAGTTATTGCTGACACTGACCAAGACAACACTGCAATAGCACCAAACCTTGAATCTTAAACATCTAATAAAGCTACAGGTGATACCCAATGTTATCAGGAGTGAGTGAGAGGTGAAGAGGAAATGGGGTCTAACGTCACATTCCAGATGTGAGTGAGATTTTCGGCTGTCTTATTGTTAGCTATACTCATGATACTCCAAAAATAACATGAACGATAGACTAGAGTAAGGCTTCATATATTGTACCAATGTAGGTAATTGTACCCTGTATTCGACGTGATGAGTTACCACCTCAACCACTATCAGGGCTAAAAAATCCACTTGTCTGCTCATATTAACTAGAGGCTGCATGTGTGGGGCATGAAAGAAGGGAAGAAAAACTCATCCTGCCGAGTGAGTACATTTATTTCAATCGCATCAATTCATCTCTAATCGTTTTCAATAAAATATGCAGGATAATTTCGAACCAAAGATACATTTTCATTTCTTGTACATTCTTGTACATTCTTAGTAATAATAACGAACTACATGTCACTTGTATTATATATACTAGCAGCAACTGCCCAATAGTTAAGGTATCATAAGGACTAGTAGAAATTTGCCACTTTTAAGGGTTTTGCTATATGTTATCATTATAAGGACTAGTGGATGAAAACTGTTAGTTTCTAACCCTGAATAGATAGTTTAATTTGTTTTCAAGCCTTGACTATGCTACCTCAATAAAACTTGAAAATAATCAATAAAGATTTCCTGATCATAATTTTCCTTTGCAAGTAACAGGAACTATTTGGAACATTACTACCATCTAATCTAGGCTTAAGCAATGTAAGAATAGGCCACACACACTGACACTAAAATCTAGCGAAACCAAGGGCAAATAAGCATGAAGAATATCCTATTCTTTATATCTGCAGCAGCGTCATCGTCTACTGGTCAGTTTACTGGGGTATGGTGTACGTCTCCCACCACACTCAGCTGATCTCATTCTCCAGGACCACAGAAGCATAGCCACATTACTGTCACATTACCTCTACTGTCACGAGCCAATACTTTCTCAATTTATGATGTATTTATCTTGTGAGAACATCCTGTTCACAGCCATATTTGTCTTGTCATGGGCAGCCTTAGTACAGTGAGTTCTATAGAGAGAAGCCCTGTCAAAAGACTTCTTTGTCAGAAAAAAAGGAGTGTCATCTTTGTAGTCAAAATGTGTTCAATAAAGTCTGATGCACACATAATGTTGAAAAAACACAAAACTGTGTGAGAACGACACCAACGCTATACTGTTACTATGGTTACTAGTGTCTGCAGCAAAGGGGGATTCTGTGTCTTTGCTCCAATAATATTTTAATTTGGGGACCCCTAAATCTTTTATTTTAATATTAGGGCAATGAAAAAGGGTTCAAAATTTATTATTTCAAAAAGTCCGCAAAAAGGATTGGTTACAGAGTTGCTATCTACCTAATGGTAAATGTGGTGGTCCACAAGGAAACGTCACAGCAGTGGTTAGCCCCAAGTTATGGAATATTCATAAAGGACTTGACACACACTCTCATACTGAATACATAGAAACCATGACGACCCGGATTGGAATAGGTCTTCAGAAATCCATGCTTGCTATAAGCATGATAAGAGACAATTAACAGGATCGGTGCATGTCATTGTATCCCAATTGCATGGATAGATGCTCATGATGTCAGTCACTGGATTGTCTGGTCCAGAATCGAATATTTACAGACCGGCAACATAGAGATGGAATGTTGCTCACCATAGATTTTTACATCAATTCAACAACTTCAACATGCTGTCAGGGTTCATTCTGTTCATCACAAAAACATTTCGAAGTACATGTATTCAAGTAGTCTAATGCAGTAAGGTATCAAGACCTATAGAAACAGTGCATGGGAGAGTTGTGTGATCAGTAGCTCATCAGCAGAACAGCTCTTACACCACTCAAGACAATCAAAACATCTGTAAGAAAGTTGTCATATTGCATCATATTTCAAGCTGAATAATATCTGCTCATTATGAGGGAATGGTAAACCTTGTCCTAATATATATTGCAATACAATCTAAATGCAGGCCTCAAAGTTTAATTTTTTACGAAGTAGTTACATGACGTGCATCAACCAAGACAGCGAGCCTGAACACCCAATCCTGTTAGTCGCCTCTTACGATAAGCATAATCGCCTTTGACGGCAAGCCTTGGTTGCTGAAGGCCTATTTTAACCCAGATCTTCACAGGTCATAAAATATAGTTAAGTTGTAAAGTGTATTCTTTTGATATTGTCAATAACAAAATAAAAAGTCGTCTTGGAAAAGAAAATTGGTGAATAATATTTCTATCATTATTGCTATTTGTCACTGTTACCTCCCTTGATTAAACGTTACTTTGGTTACAAATGGTGGCCAAATTTCCAGTGAATACACAGCCTGACTGCTCATAAACATCAAGTAGCAAAACAATATCTTAATGTATTTAGAACTTCCCAAATTTAGGTCTACATTCAAACAGAGATTTTCTGTACCATGTATCGGTGTAGAAAATTAAAGAAATTTCAACCATTCAATTTTCTTAAACTATTCTGAAAAGCATAAACAACGGATTTGGGTTGCAATAAAATAGTGATCATATTGATATTGATATTAATATCAATATTATCAGTATTTTTAAAACAATTGTTTAACATTGTTTAATTAAACAATGTTAATTGTTTTAAATCCACTGTACATGCTGTACGTGGTGTACAACAAAATTCAACCAAATCATTTGTAAATGCTTTTGTCCAAACAATAGTGACCAACATGACCAAGGTGATGCAGTACAATCTCCAGAATTGTGTACTGCACGAATGTTTCATGCACAAGGTGACAGCTGACTGAATTTGGCTAATATTTTTTTCCTTAATTGGCTTATCATGCTTATAGATCCACCAAATCAACATGATCAGTTGTATTAGTTTTAGTTTGGTGTTAACAGCAGCAATATTCAAATTCTATGACAGCAGTCCAACAATCTTCCTGCCGAAGGTACATGCCTTGCCATCTGTTATAATAGCTAATATGGATAGAATTTTTTATCAATTAAAAAACAACAACATCAGTTTTGAAACAGTTACTGCAATCAGCACTAATTTCACTGACCCACTTTTGCTAATACGGAAACGTCATAGAACAATTGAACGCAACGTCACCTTTCCCCATCCCCATGACGGCACCTGACAACGGGCGTGATAATCGCCCGTCATCAAGAAATATAAGGGCATTATCAAGTTACAGTGGCCCGCTCTTTTCTGATAACATACGGGCGGTTTAACGATAATTCTATCCATTATAGCTATAATATTCATATCCATGTGGCCATGATCATGGTGGCTGAAGATGTTGCAAGTTAATGAAATCTGCATGCTGAGCATGATCTGTGATAACTTCTAACGCCCACATCATAACATCACATAATCGTGATAATCAATGACATCAACAGATCAAGCAGATGATGACACTACAACATTGTTGACATGTGGAGAGTCATCATCTCAGTACAGTGAGTTGGGATAAACACTGCTTTGCACAGTATTAAATTTATATCACAGCATATCCGCTTCATGTGGGAGGAAAGCCCAAAGTGATGCAGCATCTTAGACATTTACCACTCCGGTAAAACCCACGGGCACAGGTATGGTGCTGACAAAGAAACCCACAAAAATAATGATGATGAACCAGGATGTGAACCCAGGATCATGAATGTCTGACACACCTAGAGGGACCGATCTGCAAAGTAATTGCTGTGTCTGAGATAATTATCTTTACACTTAGAAATCATGTAGGTCTTTAACAATCATTTCGCAACAATTGGTACAAAAACATTTAATGATATAAGTTACTCTGAGTCTGATACACACTGATATGTTATGACTTGTTATCAGATTGTTGTGAACAAAACATTACTAGGGAGAATATTAAGCAATCCCAGAAAAGCAACCAGAACTTGTTGTAAATATCCTTTGGCTAATAAAAAAGTATTGTTTCTTTTGGTTCGTCAATGTTATCGTTATTCTGGAGAGCTCTGTAATAAAACACTTTACTTTCTTTGAGTGTGACAAGTCAAAACACAAATATGATTCCAGTCAACAGTGACCAATAAAACCAATGCATCAAACACTTAATATGCTACTCAAAAGAAGTTAAAGAACAAATGCTTCACACATGGAAGAAATCGGGTGTTTTTTTACTTCTTTTGAGTAGTACATGATGATGATCATCATGTATGCAGGCACGATGATCAATGGAATGATTGGTCTGGTCAGTTTATCTGCCATTTCTTATGGACCAAATGGGGTCAACTATTGACCCTGTTGACAGAAAGCTTCTGCATAACGTGTGATAATGTTTTGTTACAAATATATCCCTCTAACTAATTGCGATCAATCTACAAAATATGTCTCTAATCCTCTGCACAAGACCAAACAAAAAAGAAGTGATCAATTGACAGTACGGTACAATAGTACTATGATCAATGATCCACATTATTCAGCATGATGAAACGCAATTAACGACCCGTGAAGATCCGGGGTAGAATAGGTCTTCAGCAACCAATGCCTGCCATACAAGGCGACTATGCTTGTCGTTAGAGGCGACTAACGGGATTGGGTGGTCAGGCTTGCTGACTTGGTTGATGCATGTCATCGATCCGATTTGCGTGGATCGATGCCCATGATATTTATCACTGGATTGTCTGGTCCAGACTCGGTTATCTACAGACCACCGTCACATAGCTGGAACATTGCCGAGTATGGCGTACACAACAAACAAACCAACACGCAATTAACATTAACCAAGACACCGAGTCTGATCACCAAATCATCAAGTTGCCTCTTATGACAATCACAGGTTGTTTGGGGCCAATTCTATATGGAATCCTCAGTGTTTTAAACTTGAAAAGAAACAATTTAACAAAATAGTCTTCTATTAATCTATGCAAACTGAAAACCATGATAACAGATTAAAATTCATTTTGAAATTAATGTTCATAATCCTCCATACTAAAAATGGTTGCAGACTCGAATGTAAGAAATAAGAAAAGCAATATTACCTGTTCAGAAACTATCTTCAACTAGAGTGTTGTCGGAATCCAGAGAAATTCTTGTACTAAAGTCTGCTATGTCCTCATTGCACTGCCACTTACACATCAAATAATCATCAAAATCAAAGGCAGTGATTTGGCACACTTTGTATCTAAGTTATTTATCTTTTCATTCCTTGCTTTCAAAATCGCAGTAGCAGCTTTACAGTAGCTGGCTAGAATGAAGGAGGTCAACTCTTCAGAGGAAAAATATATCTTTTGAGATCAAAAAAGGCACTTGTACACGTTGGTTATGTTCTTCCTCACATCACGAATAAGATAATCTGTTCCTACACTTATTTACAACCACCATCTACTAGAAATAAAAGCTACTGAACAAAAGTGGTGGCACAATACTGACACAGCATTAAGTGTTAATGTCGCGAAGAAAGATGTGTCAGGACAAATGACATCTGTGTTTGTCAACATGGATAACTGGGGTGTACAACCAAGTCTGCTTCCGACTAGACACCATTATCATTATCCACTTGTCAAGTTCAGATTTGTGATTATCATTTACCAATCTTTGTTGATATTTAGCTTCATATGCATGCCAATGAAATGTCTTATTTCAAGGCAAGTTACTGTTTTTGGAATTGTCATGTGACCTTGAAATAGATCACCTCCCTTTGGTCAACAGCTTTGCCACTGTTGGGCTAGCAGAGGCCGACGATACATCAGCTTACCCCCTCATTATTTGTGGAGATTCTAACTCTTATCCTGAAATTATATTAAAGATGACTTGTTTGCTGCAATAGCAAGTGATATGGACATATCAGGTCACATATCTAAAGCTGTCAGAACTTTCTGGGAAATTCAATCCGGTACCTCTCACCGCCAAGCAGAGGCTTTCGCCGGGAATCACATTTTTTTCATTGTTCAATCTTCCTCTGTACAATTTAACACCATACGCTTGCAAAGAAGTAAACGAACATCCAAATAGATCACACTCTGGCGCAGACGTTTCCTGTACGTCCACTTGAGATGTACACCTGGAACAATATCGTGCTTTCTCACGGCCACAGGTGCTTTGAGCACACGATGTTTACAACTTTTCCCGCGATTCCACCAGTTAGTGTTCAAATTTCCTTTTGCAAAATTCAAACAACACTGTCTCTTTTGATTGCATACTATTTTCGCATCGTTTCTAGTCAATATCTTTCACTGTCATTTGCATAAGATGGATAATGAAACGTAAAATTTGTCAAAACGTTCGTGTCCTACTTTCGCATTTCGGTAAAATGGCGATGACATCCCATAATGTAATGACATAATCTCCAAACTCTTGCCTACCAAAATGTAGTTTATAACTACAACTATTTCTTGAACTGTCTCTGGCTTATTATATCAAAGCTTATCTATAAATGTAAAAAAATAACAAATCTAAATGAGAAAATATTGGATAGAGAGTATAACCTGGATAACACACGTACTTTGCTACAAGGGAAATAACTGCATTAGAGTTGAATACATTAAACTAATGAGTTGCCTCCCTTTGACCATGTCGGCTCGACAATATTTCATTCGAAAGGAGTATGCTCACAACACGAGCGTATTCTGACTACAATTGATTTACAAAGTTTAATTGTCTGGTCCAGAGTCGAATTTTCACAAACTGACCCGATGTAGCTGAAATATTGCTGGGTGTGTCGTTAACAAGAAGCAAAATTAACAAAATACAAAAAGTATCATAATATATAATAGAAAATCCCCCCACAGAGAAGAATGAGTGAGTGAATGGAGTGTTTACTCCGATTAATCAATAGCGAGGGAAGTAGGCGTATGACATAGGCCTGGGGCGGGTAACTCGGGTGGGTACTGAGTAGGACCCGGGTACCCACGGGACTACCCGGACCCGTGGTTAGTCACTTGAGATATTGTTTAATGACATAATTTATCTGGAACTCTATGGTTACACTACACGCCGCTTATGTTCGCATTTCTTTCTGACTATGCACCCATTCCTTCTGACCTTTATACGTTTGAATAAAAATATAATTTCAGTCAACTTCAGTGTATGCATGACCAGATCGTTTTATACATGTATCTAAATACATTTTGCCAATGCTAAGGTCCAACTATTCCCATTCGGACATTTTGTACCCAACTCTTGAGACCTAGAACGGGGACCCCGTAAGGCTGGGACGGGTAACTCGGGTATTCGGGTCGGGTGGGTCCTGAGGAGGACCCGGGTACCCACAGGACTACCCGGACCCGTGGTTAGTCACCTGATATATTGTTTAATGACCACACGAGTCGCTAATGTTCGCATTTCTTTCCGACGATGCACACATTCCTTTTGACTTGTATATGTTTGAGTAAAGATAAAGCTTCAGTCAACTCAGTCAGTGAACGCATGATCTGATTGTTTGATACATGTATCTAAATAGTTTTAACCAGGGCTGCGGTAAAACAATTACCAATCAGACATTTTGTTCCCTACTCTTGAGACTTGCAGTGGGTACCAGGGTAGAGTCGAGTAATAGGGGGTCGGGTACCCGGGTAGTAAATTTGGACTCGCCCCAGCCCTAGGACCGCGGTAGGGTCGGGTAATAGCGGGGTAAGTACCCGGAGTAAATTTGGACTCGCCCCAGCCCTAGTATGATAGTAATCTGTTACATTACCTAGATGCCTTGTTAGTAAGGTTTTAGTTTTAACGCCAGAATCGGAACATTCAAGCTGAACTGCCGGGCAAAAGGAATTATAAATTACACTTGAAAATTGAATTTGAAGTTGCGACCCCAACGTTCCTTGAGACGTCATGTGCACGTCACCTGTTGTGAGATATTCATTGATACGATGCATGTAATATCGACCATGATACCCGTATCAAATACATCACCAGCGAATAATAATTTCTTGTTTATTCATTTTATAGCTACCAACAAACATGGGTGTATACTTTCTTGTGCCCGGCAAACTGTATACACTGATGATGTGTTGACTTTGTAATGTTGTTGCTTTTGGCTAAATGTAAATTTTTCAAAAGTACACCAAATGTTAATCGCTTCAAACATCATAGTAACAGCCGTGATGTCATTAAAGGAAATATGTCTTATATCAAGATTCAACACGGCAAAAGTTTTAAACCAAGGGGGTGTTTTATAAGGAACCAGCTAATGTAAATCTCTCTACTTCTGGAGCTGTAAGAGGTGAGGGATCGGGTGGTCAGGCTCGGTGACTTGGTTGGTGCATGTCATCGCATCCCAACGGCGTGGATCGATGCTCATGATGTCAGTCACTGGATTGTCTGGTCCAGGCTCGAGTATTCACAGACCGCCATCATATAGATGGAATATTGCTGGGGGTGGCGTTAAACAACAAACAAACTCCTAGAACTCAGTGATCATGGTTTATTATACTGATGGAAATTAATAAGGGCACACTTAGTTTTAGACACAATTAAATGATATGACGTCATGGCTTCCCAGCCTTGTCTACCAAACAAGTGTTGGATACCAATGCACACAAACACATCTCAACATTTCATTCTGACATTTGTTGAATTTGTATGCACGCTATTTCAAATGTAATGACAGCACAGTTTATTTCTCTATATTATTCATTGTTCCCATTTTTTGTTTCTATCAGTATATTAAATTTATGTTTTGACGTCACTGTATTAAACCTTCTTGTGGTTTGTACAGGAAGTAAGTGTTAATGAGTGAGGATGTAAATGCCCAATTTCAAAGAGAAATCTGACTCCATAATATAAAATATCTATCTTTGTATATTGTATAGGAACTAGGGCTGGGACGAGTCCAAATTTACTACCCGGGTACCCGACACCCTATTACCCGACCCTATCCGGATACCCGCTAGAGGTCTCAAGAGTTGGGTACAAAATCTCTGAAGGGAATTTGTTTTACCGCAGCCCTGGCAAAAACTATTTAGATACACGTATAAAACGATCTGATCATGCATACACTGCAGTTGACAGACGCTTTATCCTTACTCGAACATAATGAAGTCAGAACGAATGTTTGCGTTGTCAGAAAGAAATGTGAACATTAGCTATACCTGTAGTGTAACCATAGAGTTTTATTGTTAATGTCATTTAACAGTATGTCATGTGACTAACCACGGGTCCGGGAAGTTGTGTGGGTATCCGGGACCTTCTCAGGACCCACCCGACCCGAATACCCGAGTTACCCGTCCCAGTCCTAATAGGAACGATTTAAAATGAGATAATATATTGAAAAGACTATTCATTTTAGCAAAAATGGTTTTAATTATTTTTACACCCAATGGGCAATGTATAATGGTTTATTCGAATAAGAACACGCACTAATTACCACTTTACTAGAGAAGCTGTTATAACATTTTATACATTATAATGTTATGAATTATTAATATTATCTAATACGTGTGAATGGTGAGAGAATGCTGTCTTTGTTGTTAAATAAGGATATGTCCCCCAAAGAACACCTCTGGGATGTCATGGATCGTCGTGTTCGACAGCGACCACATCCTCCAGTCAACCGACAGGAACTGATCCGAACCTTCCAAGATGAATGGCGACGTCATAAGACGATTGATTTTTTCTGTAAGCCGATGAGTTTTTGCGTATCTGGGGGTGGTCATGCACGCTATTAATGTGATGTGTCATTGAATTTGAGCGATTTTTTTATGTGTGTGTTCTTTGTCCATTACGTTGAAAACTTGTGTTTGCGACCCAACCTCAATTCGGGCTACTGTCATGACAATATCGGATGTTGTATATATGACTGTCATTTGAAATGTTGAGATGTTGATCTTTTCAATACGTTTTACTTCGTGCATCTATCTTTTGTGGTTTAAAATTTATTTAATACTATGGTCAAGTTTCTTTTGGAAGTCAGTTCATTGATACCATCGTGCATAGCACTAACCTAGGAAACTCATTTAATAACTTTTGTTTGTGTTTTCTAAAATTGTCTTTATATCTCTTCATATTTGCATGGGCCGGGCACTGTACCCTGGGTGCCTGGTCTTATCTCTAATAGGGATTCATAAATATAATAACAATTAAACCAAATAAAACTACTATAGATGCATCACGGTGGCCTGTCAACAATTGAATATACAGGCCAGTCAGTGTTTGGAAAGTTTAACTTTACCAGTAGTATTCTATTCAAGTAGACGAATCCAGCCGAAACCGACCCCAGCCTTGTGTTTCTTTTCCATTGTAAAATGTATTTCCAATGGGAGAGAAAGCCCAACTCGGGTGCTGTCTTCTGATCGGTGCATTTTCAATCCTGTTTTTTTTTCGGGTGTGCATTTCGATCCACTTTATAAAGACAACACAGCGCACTGTCATTGCTTATGAACCCACTGACCTTCATTCAGAGAATGGCCCCCAAGGCATGATGTCACCACCCACCCACTGATGATGTCATCGACGCACATGTGTGTGTGTGTGTGTGTGTGTGTGTGTGTGTGTGTGTGTGTGTGTGTGTGTGTGTGTGTGTGTGTGATTTTTTTTTATAGAAAACAGTTCTGAATCATGAAAATACAACTTGGGGACAAGTGATACTTGTACAAATATTTGCCCCCTCCTCCTCCTCCTCCCCCCTCCCCAATCCTCCCCTCCCCCCTCCCCGTAAAAAAAAGTTTACTACGGCCCTGGATACTAATTCGCATCGGCTCTGTGCCACTATAGGGTACCAGAAACACACAGTGTGCTCTGGCAACAGGAAGCAAGGCATAGCGACTCAATCGAGATAAACAAGTTGGACGGCATCGGTGGGAGACATCTCAGATGCCGGCACATTTCATAGAATTCGTTATACGTTTCACGTTGTTTGTTTGTTGTTTAATGCGTCTCTCATCAATGTTGCATCTATATGACGGCAGTTTTAACCAACATGTAGGACTGGTGTCGAGACTAACATTTAATCCCTGAAATGTTTAACATGATTTTTCGGATACATTTTTCTTCTAGGCTTTCTGGGAGAATAAACTGGTGATTTACGTCTGTTGTGCCCTTAAACCTACGTCAAGGGCTCTACATACGTCCCGACAAAACCGGAAGGCCTATGCGATTTACAAGATCCTACAGTACCTGTGACAGATGTGAATAATTGATTACACTTGGATGAGTTCAATTTATGCAGGCTATATCTTAGTTATGGTTTATTTGAATGAGTGTCATTGGCCTACCGGCTTTTATCATGTCATTTCCAGCGCCTTCCCACAAAGCGATGTCACAAGCCACTATCGCAGAATCTCACCTCCCAGTCTTAATCATATTAGCCTAACACCCACAGT